AACCTTAGGGTGTAAACTTGAAAGGACTTGTCACCTTCCATAGATATGAATGAGTTCTCATTAATTAATTGTATGTGTGTCTCTTCTATTTTTCTGTATACTGCAACAGAATACAATGAATGACTTAAATGAAAACAAACACAACATCATGTCATAGTTTACGTGGGTCATGAGTTCAGAAACAGCTGAGGTGGAAATTCTGGCTCAGGGTCTCTCACGAGGGTATCGGGATACTGGCTGGGATTTCACTTTGGCTGTGGGATTGGCATTTACAAAGTCTCATGGGGCTTCTCCAGGGCAAATGATCCAAGACAGAAGCAGGAATGGATTGTATGACTTGGTTTGGGAACTCTTCTGGCGCCATTCCATATAACGTTGGTACTAAAGACTACCCCATGGGAAAGGATTCTATGCAAGCATGAACCCAGAAGTCGAGGAGTGCTTGGGTCATCCTGGAAGCTGGCTGCTGTAGAGGGTCCTGTATTCCCAATCACAGCAGACTCATTTGCACAGAGAGAGCGGCAGACAGTGTAGGTTTTTACCCCTACAGGAATTAATTGGTAAAACTTGGGTTACCTATGATGGAATACTTTTCAGGGATTAATAGTTACTTTCAAGTAAGAAGAAACAGAAAGATCAAAACATAAATAAGAGTTACAACAGAACCTAACTGGTGTGTTTTTAAAGTTGTATAAATTACACAAACACACACACACATTCCACATGATATATTTTTGAAGATATACAAATTGCTAAGTGCATAAAATGGCTAGAAAAACATTAAAAGTTGTTATACACGGTGGATAGGGGAATCAGAGAGGAAATGATAAGCGAAGAAAAAACAAAGATATTCAACAATGTGAAAAATAGGTCATGACATGACAACTTATCACCTCAGTTGAGGCTTAAACCCCTTTTGCTGGTAGCGTTGTAAAGTGGTCCAACCATATCAAGAGATTGTAGGATTCGAGACTCTTAGCATGAAGGCTCTACTCGTTTCCCTCTGCTGTGTATCAAAGAGAAAGTTCATTTCTCATAGAGCACCTTCCTCATCTTCTCACCTCACAGATCTCTTGTATTTCTCAAATGGAGATCTTCAAAATGTAAATAACTTGGAGAAAAGAGTAGCCTAGAAATTAAATGCATAATAATGAACAAATGATTCATCTTAGGTTTCCTGGCTGGGAGAAGACTAAAGGGTTAGGACTGAGTTTTCTGCAAGGACGAAGGGAGTGGAAGGGATAGGGAAAGAATGAAGTTAGGTGTGGAGGCACACAGTCATAATTCCAGCACTCGGGAGGCTGAGGCAAGAGGACATAAGGACAGCACGGGTACTTATATTAAAACCAAAACACCAAAACTGATCCTTCACAATCTTGAATGTTTGTAGAACATTTTATATTGGAGTCAAAAGACAAAGATCAGTTTGCACATGCACTCATTTCCCAACTAAATCTTTACTGCTGGCAATTCAATGATGATTGGTTTGCTGTCTGCAGACTGTTTCACTCTGATGGTATTACCTGGGTCTAGTAATGGTGGATTCATAGGTTATCTTTGGCTAGCCACTATTTGAATGACTCTCTTGAATCTGGACTTGAAGGCAAGCTACTTAATTAAAATGCACAGGACATTTAGTACTAAGAAAAGGTCAAAGGTCAATCCTAACTTGTCTTACACTGGAAGTGTGCTGTGTTTAGGTGACAGCACTGGGCTGGGATAATTTTTTTAATATCTGAGAACTATGAAGATGGTTTTATTGAGATTGAGCAGTGTGAGTCCTGAGTCACTTATAAAAGAAGTACACACCTAAAGATGTCCCCTGCTAGCAATCCTTCTAGGATATCAGCCACTGTTGACTTCAGTGGCTGTCGCTGCCTAGTTACAACAACGAAGACACCAGTCGGAGGTAGCCAATATTAGTCAAACCTTCCTTTCCCGGGGAGTGCTTGTTTACTCATCTTACTTATCTGCTTGTTCATTTTGAGTCTCCAAATGCAGCTGGAGCTGGGCCTCTAAGTCACAATCCTGTCTCAGCACTATTAGGATTACAGGTGTGTGCCTCCAAGTACCCATGTTGCATTTTTAAAAGGAAATGGTTGCTTTTTAGAAAACTGTTTTGTGCATACAGATTTAAGTGTTTTCTCATTTATGAGAGCCCTAAACACTGGAGGTGTTGTCACCTCATACAGATTAACCTGCAGACAAGGCAGGGAGGGAGACTTCTCAGAAAGCCCCTCTGCCCAGCCCACATCACTTTACTCTCTTTTCATGAGTCTATTTTTGATCAAGCTCCCAGAGAGTAGTTGCAATACCTGCTAAACAGAGGCAGGCATGTTTACATAACAGGTGATGTTCACAGGCAGCCCTACAAACAATTACAGATTCTAGAAAGTACTTAGGGCTCAAAGTGTTTTTTTTTTTTTTTTTTTTTTGTTTATTTTGGCTCAAAGTACTTTGAGCAAGAGTTATTTTCTTGGGAAATTTTTAATTTTCCCTTCACTATGAAAATCAGTGGGCATGGACATAGCTCAGCAGTAAAATATCTTCATATAGCCAGGCAGTGGTGACGCACACCTTTAACTCCATCACTTGGGAGGCAGAGGCAGGTGGATCTCTGAGTTTGAGGGCAGACTGGTCTACAGAGTGAGTTCCAGGACAGCCAGGGCTACACAGAGAAACCCTGTCTCAAAAAAACAAAACAAACAAAAAGCCCACGCTAAAACCACCTGCCCCCAATCTGCCTACCATGAACAAAGCCTTGAGTTCGATTGCCATTACCCCCTCATGCCTGCCCCACCCAGGCACACACATCTGCAAATAGCATCGTGGTCTGTCTCCCCTCTCCCCTCTGTGTGTATTACTCTGTGTATGCCAGGCTTGTTTTTCTTCCTTTTCCTCCCTCCATCCCTTTCCCCCTCATTGCTTCTCTCTGTGTGTCTCTCACCACCTAGATCAGGCTGGCCTCCAACTCACAGACATCATCTTGTTTCTACCTCCTGAGTGCTGCCATTAGGGATGTACACTACCACACCTGGCCTCTTATTACCTATTCTGTGTGTGGGGTGGGGGTGGGAAGATATGCCTATGTCATTGTGGGTATGACTGCTCACTCCACCCTTGTCAGAGGAGAGTGTCTGAGGTTGATGTTAAGACTCATCCTTTATCTTACTTCTTACATCTCCTAAAAAGGGGAGCTCACCACTTGCTGGCTGTTCAGCAAGCCCTAGGACCCTCTGATGTCACTCTGTAGTGAGGGTTACAAAAGCACCACTGTGCTTGGTTTTCATGTGGGGGTGGGGGATCTGAACACAGGCGCTTAGCAACTTTAGGCTTGAGCAACTTTACCACTGTCTATCCGGAACACCCAGCTTTGGCCCATCGAAACCTGTAACTATGACTCTCATGGCTTAATGTACATGATTAATTTCCCTTATGAGAACTTGGTTATGCATCTATAAACAGGTATCTCTCATATGGAGAGAAGTATCCTAATGCTTTCATATGGAAAATGGGAAAGGAGATGAGGTCCAGAGAAATTTACGTGATCATAAATTAGCTCAGAGACCTGACTTTAACCCAGGCTTTGCACTCAGCCCACTGCTCTCCAAGTCAGCAAACATACACTGCTAAGACTCTACAACAATCAACTTTAAATTAACTGCACTTTGAACAGAACACATGGTCTGGTACATTGATAAAACAACAAGAAAAGAGTTTACCTGGTTTGTAAACTCTTTTATTGAATCTGTGACACATATGGCAGTAACAAATAACACCCCTTTAAAAAAAAAAAAAAAGAATGCTACCTTTTCCACAACAATTTATTTTAAATAAAACTTCAAGTACTTTTACATAGGTACAAAAAAACTCTGATCTATTCGCCTCCAACAGGCCACAACACACAGTAGATAAAACACAGTGGTTACAAATGTCTTTTAAATTTATTTCTGAGGCAAGGCAGATGGGAAGGAAGTGTCTCTATGAAAAAATACTGTGTGTGTAGGAAATTGTCACAATTTTATTCCACATGGATACAAATGATTATACTTTAATTTAGGCCCTGGTGGCTTAAAATTATATAACAAAATAGAAAAATGGAAAACTACTATCCCCTACACCCTGTTTCAAAGGCAGGCACTACCAAGATTAGGGAGACGCCACAGTGTCGGTAGAGGATAACTACTGTACAAGCTGTAGAGCTGTAAATACCTTTAGACTCCGATCAAATGCTACAGTCCTTCTAAGGCATAAACAATAATGTCTCCGAACAATATATACACATAGTACATATTAAAACAAGACTCAATATAAACAATAATGAACAATATATACACGTCAATTTCCACTGGCTTGAAATACAATTTTACTACACAAGTGATGCGCAACATATATATATATATATATATATAAATGTACTTGTAACTCTACAGTAAAGTTTATTTTTGGTGCTTTCAGAGCACATCAGTGTAAACAGTTTAACTTGGCTTTGTTTTATATTTTAAAACATTCCTTGTTGTATTTTCAAGATTTAAAGCAATTTTCTAGTTCTTCCTTTTCACAGAAAACGAAGATTCTGGATGTGGTTTAATCATAAATAATTCATAAAATTAAATACATTCACTAAAAAATAAACTACAAAGTAAAAAAATGAAAAATAGATATTTATTGAGAGGGAAAGGAGAACCATTTCCCATGTTAGAGCTCTGGTGTTGCCTATTCAGTGCGATTTGATAGAGTTTAATTGCTATTGCACTAGAACACCCTTTCTTGAGAACATTCTTTGGGTGTGCCTCCCTGTTCTACCTAAGATAGCTGATAAATCACACAGACCAGTGACCAACGGTCTTGGCTGGTGGAGTGAACCCTCTAAAACTGGTATCATTCTTCTCATCTTTTTTTTAAATATATATATGTATATATATATATATATATGTATATATATATATATGTGTGTGTGTGTGTGTGTGTGTGTGTGTGTATATATATATATATATATATACACACACACTTATTTCAAGGAAAAAAGTTAATATGTATGTGCCTTGCACATCTGTGTAAATGCAGTTCACATTGCTGGTCTTATTTGTCCTTATTTAAAGGGAAAAGGAGAAAAAGCAGATTATAACTTCAGCTCACTTTGAAGGTATCTGTCCACTTTTTTTCAAAGTACTTCCTCATACTGTGGCCGGCTCTGCCTATGTCGGAGTCATCTTCATTGAATGTTTCACAGTTGTCAAACACAAGCCTGACATCTAGAGCAAAGGTTTCAAAGTTGGTATACCTGAAATGAAACACATCATTACAGGCTGGTTTCACTGGCAGAACTTGTAACAAACTTAGAGAAGTGAAGAACAAAGATGAAGGGGAAGGAAAGACCAGGAGAAACACACTTGACCATGTCTAAGTCCTCTTGGGAAAGCAACATCCCAAACATTCACTGCCCCGGATCAAAGAAGGTCAGTAGAAAAACAAACCGTTTTCTTGGTTACAAAACTAAGGTAATTTCCAGGACAGGCATGCTACCACTAACTATAATCCCAGTACCTGGTTGGTGGAAACAGGAGGATTGCAAGGTTGAGACCAGCCTCGGCTACAGAGTAAGACTTTATCTCGAAGCAAAAACAGAAACAAAGCCAAAAGATTGTTTTCACCTGCATGTGTTTCCCATACCCCATGACTTCTTACAATTCTGCTGCAGGACTTTCCAACTCCGTGGCTTCCCTAACCGTCGGCCACCCCATGATCCTCATCCAAAAAGTGTTACAGCAGTCAAGAGATGGGAAACATTTCTTATGCACTACAAAAATTATGCTTCCACAGCTTCTACAAATCCATCATGATAAGTCACCATGTTAAACCTTCAATCTCAGTACTCAGTATCTGCTGAACAGAGATGATTTACTTACTGTCCATTATTTAGTTTTTCTCTGATTGTAGAAAAATCCATAGGCTTCTTAATGACTTTCTTATAGCCAGGTACAAGTTTCAAGTTTACAGGAAGTAGAAAAGGCCAGGCATCCTCATGAGTTTCCATTTCAGTCAGGATCACACTAAAGCAAACATGTTTGAAATTGTTAACTATAGACTGTGATTCCCCTAACTGAATATAAATAAATTTAAAAAAAAAAAAAAAAAAAAAAAAGAGTACCTGCAAAGAGCCAGGTCCTTGGAGTCATCTTTCTTGGGCTTCTTAACAGAAGTAGCACTTTCTATTTTTGACAAGTTGATGGAAAGGTTTTCCTCCATTTTCCTTTTTTTGAGATCCTTGCTTCCTCTTTTTAATGAGCTGCTTGTGGAGGCGGAGTCTTCATCTTCAGTGTCCCCAGCAACATTCCCTTTCCGGCTTTTCTTAGACTCATTTGTCTTTTTTCCTTTGACATGAATTTTTTTTATTTTTATAGTCTGACCACTTGCCTTTAATTAAAAACAAAACAAAACAAAAAAACAGTAGATGGGGTATAAGAAAACAACTGTTTATAAGCTTTCTATTATGTTAAATCACAAGTGTTTGACAGGACCAACAAGAAATACCAACTCTGCTGCTTTACAAGATTGGTAATTCTATTCTTTTACAGAGATTTGGGGATTTCATCTCCTATAATATGAGTGACACCTAGTAAAGCATGGGGAAAAACTATTTGAAAAATTCTTAAAACTGGAGATGCAGATCCACCAGTGTAGACCTGACTTGCCAGTGTTCCTGCAGTGGAGGCTGTGAAGCAAGTGAGGTACACAGGTTCTTTCAGAGCCCTGCACAACTTGGAACAAACAAGTCTGTAAAGAAAACCATGCAGGTGACTAACAATAACGCTAAAGAAGAAATAGAAAGCGAAAACAAACAGGAAAATGAGCTCAAGAAGCACCAGGTGGAAAATCAGATTGTAAAGTGATCAAAGCTACTAAAAATCAATTATTTTTTAGATAAATAATAAAATGTGTCTGTGATGAGAAGAGTTTTACAAGTTGTGGTTTAAAGCACAGACAAAGACGAGGAGAAAAGTGTCTCTTTTTGAGAACAGCAAAGTAAAATAAAATGTATCTTAAATGAAGGTGTTGCTTTATTTACTAAATAAGTAATGTTGAGTTAAATCTCTAAGTGGTTTGTTTTCTCTTCTGTAAAAGCAGTCACATATCTACTAAGGTTATTCCACACTACACATCCAACCACAGACTACAGCGAGATCCTGGGCCCTGCATTCAGAAATAGGGAATAGTTTCTTTTGAGGATTGAAAGTTAAGCTACATATAATATGTCATAAAAGATACTTGTAATGTACTAGAAATGTACAGTTTTTGCTTTGCCAATGCAAAGAGACTTACAATGTCTTTCAGAACACTCACTCTCTTGCCCAGAAATCCCACATTGCAGAATGATATGACCACTCTGACAATAACTCAGCCAAATGCAAACATTTTTTAAAAATTATTTTAAAGTAATTTCATTGAGGATAAAATTACCTTGACCAATAATATTATTAGAAGGTACTTAAAGAGTTAAAATTGGTTCTGTTAACAGGTTGTGAGAAAAGTTAAAAAGTTATTTTAATCCAATTCACTAAAATGAAAAAAAAATGCAAATGCAACACTTTCCTACAGCTTACTGAAGAATTAATACTGTCATTAACTGAAATAATTTAATGTTTAATTTAGTCTTTTCCCCTTTTAGTTTCCTTTTGAGTGTTCTTAATACACTGAACTTAAACAATCAGATGTCCCCTTAGAAAAGAAAAGCACTTACAATAAAGCGATTCACTTAGTGATGACCAAGTGAGATAACTGTGTTATTTTAAAACATTCCAAACTGGGAGTAGTGGCTTGAACCTATGGCTTTAGTACTTAGGAGGCTGATGCAGGAGGACTGCCTTGAGCCTCGGGCCAATCTGGGCTACTAAGTGAATTCCAGGTCTGCTTGGTCTATAGACTTAGCCCCTACTTCAAAGAGTAAATAAAAATAAGAAATAACAGTTCATGAATGATGAGTGAATATCTCTAGTTTTTGTTTGAACTCATAGATCACCTGGCACCATTTTCTTTCTGACTTAGGATCATTTTCTAGCAAATTATCCTTTGCACCAAGAAAATAGACAATGAAATGGCAAAAAAGAACAACGATGCGGGTTCCTCACTGAATGCTGCCTCAGTTGCCTGATACTGCATATACACAGACTCTGAAAGCCTTTTCTCAGTGGAATGAGAGTAGGATAAGCTAGAGTGAGGACGGAAGGGACAGGCAGGAAGTAAATCACCATGCGTGACTAATGGTTCAATTTGTGTTTTGAATGAAAAGGAAAGGAATTGTTCACAGACACAAACAAAGATAAAGGCACTGAAAAGAACAGAAGGTTGGAATAGCCAGAATAATGGGATAACTACAATAACCTACTGAGGGAGGCAAAGGACCTGACATAATGCATCATTCTAATGATGGGTGTGACTGACATGTTGAGTCGAAGGGAGGGAAACAGTGACTATAACTGAAGGACCTGGGAGGAACAGAGGAACATTGGAGTGACAGAAGGAGGAACCCGGAAAACAAAAATTTAGAACTGAGCCTATGAATAGGAGGTAGGTGCTGGCTAGCATTAGGTCAAGTACAAAGTTAGAAGCCTGTGAGATGTAAGGGATGCCTACTGAAGAGTCAGGTCTTCAATACACTCTGATCTCTACACACTTTTTAGTCCTTACCTTTTTAATTCTAGAGCTAAATTTCTTCCTTCCTATTTTATTTTATTGTGGTGTTAAGGACTGAACTTAGGGCTTGAAAATGACACAAAAGGACTGGATAGTTTGGCTATTTATGTAGCTTAGGGTGGCCCCAAGTTCATCATCTTCCTGTCAATAGTTCCAGAGTGCTGGGATTATGGGTGTGTCATCACACCCAAGTCATTTCTTCTTAATTTATTATCTTTCTCTCTTCTCTTTCCTGTCTCTGTCTCTCTCTTTCAGTTTTTCTAAGACAAAGTTTCCCTCTGTAACTTTGAAGACTGGAACTCACTCTGTAGACCAGGCTGGCCTCGAACTCACAGAGATCCTCCTGCCTCTGCCTCCTGAATACTGGGATTAAAGGCATGTGCCACCACTGCCTGGCCTATTTACTCCTCTTAAAATTTGCTTCACAGGTTTCTACTTTAAATATGATTGGAAAAGTGACTAAAAATACAGGTGTTCATTATCACTTAAGTTAGGCATTCTTTTGCAAGCCACATATAAAAGAGAACCAAACACAGTTCTTACGAAAACTGGCCCACAAGATAAGAGAATCACTCACAATATCTGGAAGGAAGAAACAACTCAGATGTTTATCAACTGATGGCTGAATAAGCAAAATGTACTGTCTATGTAAGAGAGTTTTATTTGACTATAAAAAGTACAGAAATATGCTAGAACATGAACTTTCAAAGTATTTTGTGTCAGAAAAGAAGTTAGATACATTGTATATATGTAAAAAGGCTTTTGATATTATGAAAATGTTCTGGAATTAAATAGTGATGATGTTGCACAATTTTGTGACTGCATTAACAATGGACTGTTAAAAAAGATGAATTTTATAAACTGCAATTTAAATCTTTAAACAAAACAAGCCACAAAATTCAGTTTCCCACCATTCTTACCTTAGCGATGCAAGCAGGACAAAACCAGTCCCCATCTGGAATAGTTGTAATCTTGGGCCGATGGCAGTAGGTGTGGCAGCCTTTGTCACAACCGTCACAGAGTAGAAGCAGTTCCTCATTATCTCCCTTTCGACAGATTTGGCAGTACTACAAATACATGAAAACCACTTAAAGTCAATCTTCTGCTATGGGTACTAGCTGTTGGAATGTTAACAAGCCATAATTCCTAGAGTATATTAATAATGAGCATTCCACTTGGTAACAAATATATAATAGCCACACACATCTATGTATCTCTCATTACACAGATATGGACCACATGACGGGTGAGCCAATTCTTTTGGGGTAAATGCACATTTCAGATACACTGCATAGAACAAAGCTAGAGGTTGAATGCCTTCACACACTTCAGAAGCATGTACACATCAACATATGAAGTCATCAACATGACATCAGAGCACATGAAGCAATGAATAGCTTTAATACATGGGACTTTTAATGTTTCATCTTTTGCTTATCTTATTGTCCTTATGATATTCTGAGAAAGAAATAAGAGTTAGAATATTTTAATATGGAAATTCAGAAACTTGTCTTAGTGTAATTATTATATTAATAAGATATTCCTAAATTGTACATTATCCATCCACAATTTATGATTGACTTAAATATGTCCAAAATAGGAAACTCTGAAAATGAACCCAAGTCAATTTTCTTCCACAAATAAAGAAAATTCATCTTACAAATTATCTCCAAGGAAAACAGTAACTTAAAAAGTTTATAATCATGATTTATTTTCCATGACTAAAAATTTCTTCTTTATTGAAAAATGTATAATATCATTAATTATTTCAAGTATGAAGAGAGAAAGTATTTCCCTGTATGGACATGGTTAGTATAACAAGTTTCAGAAAGAGAAGAGGAAAAGTTGCACAGCATCCAAGGTGGCTGTGAGAACAGCGTGTACTAACTTCATCTGAATTCAGGGCACAGTCCAGTCACAATAAAAAATACCCTCTAATCACTGTTTCAAAAGTGACAATAATTACATGGAAATTCACTCACAGTAAAGTTAGGTATGTATAATCTTAAAAAAGAATGGTTCAACAATTCAAAAGTTCTTCATTTAACTTCAGTACAATAAATGCTAGTCTAGGAAACTCTAAAACCATCTTATATAACTTTATATACCAAGGTAGTTTAAAAATGTAATCCAAGTTGGAGATAGATACTATTCAAAGGAACAGATAAGATACTTATCTATTAAATACATCAGACATATGTAATATTAAAATTGTCATTATGTAAATGTAAAAGCAATAGAGTTTAATAACCCCATATAACTCCACCTTTAAAAACTATTGTAAAAACATTTATTCACAAACAACCTGTGCAAGGTTATATTTAACATAATTTTCTCTTTATTGGAAAAACACTAGAAATACTACAAAGTTATTTGACACTTCATTTCCAATTTAAAATAAATATTTTCTTATCTTTTTAGAGAAAAGGTGAGAAATATCAAATTTTTAGTACTTTTGAAAAAAATCAGAATAAAAGCTCACAATTATTAGATGAGAGCATGTACATTAATGTTGACTTTAAACTCCTTTACTACAAAAGCAAGAATATTTACGCAGAGAATTACCTGAAAGCAAACTGGCAGATTCCCCTTTCCTTCCTTATAAAGCTTGCTATTTGGCTAACATGGCATTTTTAAAGCTACTGAGCACTTTAACATTTTATTTGGATTTATTATGAGGTTTATTAAGGGTAAGTTACAAAATAAGTCTTAAACTATGAGTATCAAGTCATGTCACTATCACCGCCATCACCGCCACCACCATCACCACCACTGCCTCTGCCTCTGCCTCCACCACCACTATTCCCATGCTGAGAAAGGAACCCACAAGCATTATGCTTGCTAGGCAAGTGGTCCACTGTTGAGCTATGTGCTCGGCTACAAATAATGTGTTAGTAAATATTTTTAAAATGACTATTGTGTAGTGGTACCTGGCTACCATTTAGCTCCTGGGAGGCACAGGAGTTGAACTGTGAGTGTGAGGACAGCCTGGGCTACAAGCAAGTATACCAGTACAAAAACATGTTTTCCATGAAGTTTTTTTTTTTTGTTTTGTTTTGTTTTTTTTTTTAAAGACAGGGTTTCTTTGAGTTGGGTGGCTTACAATTCACAGAGATCCTCCTGCCTCTGCCTCCCAGGTGCTGAGATTAAAGGCATGTACCACCAATTCCTGGCCAGTTCAGAGGTTTCTTTGTTTAGGTTTATAGCAAAATGACCATTATTATGACTTTAGAGGATAAGAAAAATAACTATAAACTTTAATTAATATAAAACTATGATGTCATTATTTAATGCAGTCTAGATTCCAACAAATATATTTGCCTAAGGAAATTATTAAACTTGCTTTAATACTTTCAGGAGAATTATATTTTTTAATAATCTAAGAAATCTTAAGAAAATGCTCCCAAAAGAACTGCACAACACTCTCAGGCTTATAGCAAATTAATGAGTTGAAAAAAAGACTTAAGTTTGATCATTCTGTAAAAAGCTGCAGATTCTGATTCTACAGGCATCTTTAGGATGAAATGACAAAGCAGAAGACACGAAATGTATTTGTGTAAACTGCAGACAAGGCCTTCTTAAGCAGTATAAGCACCAGGGTAAACTGAAGAAAGGAGCTTAACTATGAGGATCTCTTCTTCATCTTTAGCTCTTCATGAAAACAAAACTTGAACTTTAAAGCTGCTCTTTAATTCAGAAGCAAATAGAAAAGTAATTCATAAGGGTCTATATACAAGGTACTTCCATGCATGGAGTACAAATAGGTAATAGAGCACTCTGTACATGATTTAAAACATGATTTAAAACCGTCTTTTTGAAAGTATGTGAACTATAGTTGTTATTTTAAATATGTGGCATTTTGATGCTCAAATGAATGCTTGCTATGCAATAACCACCTGCAGGTTTCCAAAGATGAAAAGTCAGTTTTAATTATCAGGAGAAAAACTAAAAGTTCTTATGGACAACCTTATCTGATACAAATACATAAGTCTAAAGTTTCTGTTTTGTATTTGGTATTCTGATTAGTGACAGAAAAGTAAAACAATTAAGGCATAATGGAACAGATAATGTCAGCATGTATAGTACTTACAGGAGTGAACAGCCTTTAAAATATTTCCATTAACAACCATTATGCTGATATAGTACAGGAGGCAACTTGTTATGACTATAAACAAGTATTCAAAGACAAAAACAAAAGTTGAGCAAAAAGAAGACAACATATTTGGCCGGTTGCTACAAAAAGTTCAAGATAAGGAAAAAGTATAGATTATATGGTATTTAAGAGTTAGCTAGACACACTCCCAAGTAGAGTATACATTATTGTAACAACATGGTAATACATAGTAAAGAAAGATCTGGTGGTTGGGAAAAAACAAGACAGAGGAAATCAGTCATAGTATTTCTGAAATAAAAGCACTTACAACTTTCATAATTGATTTTTCCCATGCTATTGATCTCTGTAACTGCTGGATGCACAGGGCTACCTGAGCAGCACTGCGAGCTTCCGCTAACGCCCTTCTCCAGACCCTGAGCCCTGGAGCAATATCCTCTTCAACTCTGCATTGAGATATAGAGAAACTGAGTAGGTCATGGCCACATTTATGGTCACTGAATGTGAAACAATCATCACACTGAAAGCCAAGCAATGACAAAAACATGTAACAGCCAATAAGTATAAAGTTTAAGCAACTAAATTTGATGTAGTGCACAGACTGTGGCTACGTGCCTTGAAGCTTAGTCACAACCAGATAAATGTAAGATCACTTTGCAGGATTATCAATGCACATAACAAAACAAACAACCAAACCAAACAAAACAAAAACAAAAAAAGAAGAAGTTTTACAAAGCACCATGCAATAGCATGATCCACATGGATCACAGACATACAAGAAGATACATAGATAACAGGCAATAGAAAATAGGCTCCAATTAGCAAAGAAGCACAATAATTTGTCAAGTTAATCTCAATAACCTACCCGTCACCATCACCACTAATGGATGGTGCAGGAGCAGGGACAGTAACTGTGCCCACATTATCCAGTTTGATCTGAATGGTGGTACTTAAGGGGCTCTTCAGATACCTTCTCTCAATGTTCCGCTCCAAATCAGCCAGCCTGGTTACAGCTATATCTAGGGGGTTGTCACTCTTCCGTGACAGTGCATGTGCACTGTTTTCTTCTTCACCAGTGAGTTCTCCATCATGCTCCTGGTACAGCTTAGTAAATGACTTATGTTCAAAATATACCAAGTCCTCCCTTTCTGACGCAGGCTCTGGACACATCCAACCCTATACATCAAGAGAATAATGTCATTACAGTTTCTTCCAAAAAACGTTAGATTGGTGAGTTACCTTTACTCTGTGACCACCAGCAGATCTTAAGTATATTTACTATAAGGTTTTACCTTGCACTTCCTAATTCTAGTAAAACAAGAGTGAAAAACGGAAAAGCAGTTGGTAAGAAAGTGTGTGAAAAATAACACTGATTCCATAAGCAGCAAAATTCAGCAAACGACTATAAAGGTTAGACTAACAGGCTCGTTGTTGCTATACATGGATGGAAAGGGAATGTCTTGGTGGCCTGTGAACTGTGCTCTTGATTTCTATCCTTATGCCTTCCACTGCTCCCCCATGCAAGTGCTCATACCCAGTACTTTCCATTTGGCTGCAAAACTCAGCATGTGCTATTATCCTTGCCCATGAAATGCTTTCCTGTTTTCGCCTACAAAGTCATCCTTTCATCTCACAGTGCTCATGCCATGATAGCATTTCCTGAAGTAACTCTTCCCCTGAACTCCTTAGGAGGCTAAGTCGTCCTGCTATAGGCTTTCCTAGGATCCTAAAATGCTCCCTAGCCTTGCCACAGTTGTACTTTTACAACAGCATGATGATTGGATTAACATTCTTCTCCCTCGAAATATCATGCTGGCCTTTACTCATTTATTTCCAGCACAGTGAAGGTAAAATAATGGGCTCTTTCTTTCTCTGTCTCTTTCTCTCTCAATGAATAATTTTGTAACCAAGCTTGTTCACAGTGATCTTTGTCCACAAACCAAAGTTTGGCCTGTTTTAAACAAGTTCTCAATCTTTGACATTCAAGGACCTCAATCTACCATCATTCTCACATTCTATTCAGACATCAATGCTGCGTTCAGGTTGCATGACTTGCTCCTCTCTAAACACGGCAAGTTTCAGTCCCTGGTCCTATGCTCATCTTCTTAGTGTACTATTTATTTGGTTCCTATCAGTCAAAACATCACTCATTTTCTTCCAACAGAATATGTCTCAACTCTACATAGTTTGGACAGTTCTCCTAAATACCCATCAGTCTACTTTTTAAAATTCAGACACTAAACTGTATTTCTTTATTGTTAGTCACTAGATTCTTCACCCATGTGCCCACATATTATTAAGCAAACTTTCTGGGAATTAGATGCATATGTTATCCAATTTCTAGTGTCTATTGTTGGATTTTTAAAAAGCTACTGAGCAAAGCATATTAAGTATGAAAAGGAATTCTTTCCTAATTAAATCTCTCTAGAAATTATTATTTTTATTCCTTTATCTCAACAGAATATTTGTATCTAGAAAGGAAGCACAGGAAACCAGGCACAGTGCCACACGGAATGGATCGTGAGTTTGTGGGCTGCTAGCAAGCATGAGGATGTGGGTAAGGGATAAATACTTAGGGTACACATATAGGCCCAGTAACAACTTATATCAAAGAAATCTTCCCACATTCTAAAAAGGGAACCAAGCCAGCTAAATAGCAGAAACTTTGCAAACCAGATACTTTGATTTCTGCAAAGTATCCGTCAAGACAACAAAAAAAGAACTAAATTAGAATTAGGAAATCAAAAGCCAGATGGCTGCACTCTATCCAAAACATGTTACTTTAGGAAAGGTCCTTAGGGCTAGGGTCCAAAGGCTCTTCATTTGATTTGTTCTGTTAATACATGTATGAATGAATAATTTAGTTGGTTGCTATAAATCCATAATATTTAAAACTAGGAAGAAAACCATTTGGGTAACAGACAACGATAAAAAGTGGCTCTGTACGATGAAAAGTACACTCAAATAAAGCTAAAAATAATATAATAAACATAAATGCAAATTTTAGCTTTGCCATTTCAGTGATGAACCAGAAAAATGCATACGTGAAAGAGGTTCAGGAAGTTCTACCCTGGCTCGTACTTAGAACAGTCATGGGATGGTGTGGGTATTAAAGAGTGCCACCAGTTCAGACAGTGGCAATGGACACATATGGTTAGAGTAACGAAAGTAAAATCCCACAAAAACATGTGGACATCTTCATATATAATTGCAGATTCTGTATTTGAAAGAGGCCATAGACCTCCATGCTTTTCAGAAAACACGAAGAGTTTGGAAGCCATTTCATAGGGCTCATGGCTTAAGGGATTAGTCAGCTCACAAAAGAAAACACAGCCGAGAGGCACAGAGCTGTCCCTTGGGAGTGGCGAGTAACAGGACTTTAGTATACGCCCAATAACCAAGACTAGGGTCAGATTTTCCTACAATATACAAAGAAAACCGACATTACTAGCAATATTAAAAATGCAAATGAATATATCTAACAGATCAAAAGCACAACTTTAATGTGCTTTCATAATGGCAAGCTCCTCAGGCTAAAAGTATTTCTTTTTAAGAAAAAAATATGATTAAGTCTTCTGTAGGTAGTAAAACATTTTATCATTTTCTTACCACTTTTCCATCCCGTTAAGACAATTCAAGACTAATAAAATTATAATTCAGTTCTCAGAATAATACAGCACAATTTACAAGTAACTTAATGACAGGATGCTAAGGCACTCCACTCAAAAGCAAATTCCACTTATTTTAGCTACTGAGTACACTAGCAAGGGCACGGAAGCCAGCAATGCGGTGGGATCAAGACATCCAAGTGTGACTGTTTTGGGCCACACTCTATATAAACAATTGGCATATTTTCCCAACAGGTGGTCAGTTAGCACTGGCAAATTGGATGGAGTAAGTTGAAGGAAAATTAAAACCCTGTAAAGCAACAAGCAGTAACAAGTGACCAACAGACTCGGAGGACAAAATCAGAGTAGGGGAAGGGGATGCAGTGTGAGAAAGCATGCCAACTATTCAGTATAAAACCCTTCCACATTTCCTATAGGCTACAGTCTGTTAATTGGTCTTCGTGCTAAAGATAATGTGTCACCAAGACAATTTAAATTACACTCATTATTCTCAATTTAATGCATAAACCACGAGATCCAACAAACATCTTTAAAAAATTATGGCACTAAATGGAATAATTTTCATTTCTCCAGAAAATTAACTTGTGTGGAAGAGTTCCTTTGGTGAAGATGCCAGTAAATGAGGCATGTGGACAGTGCATGGGCTGGGGGAGGAAATACACAGTTTTATAGCACAATAGATTTAGGAAGTAATAAATTTTGTTTTCTAATGTTAGTAATTATATTTGTGGCAAAAAATGGATATTATATTAGCTCTGGAAAATGGTAGTTTTTAAGAGACCTTCAAAACTAATTATGAAGCAAAATTTAAGTTATTGGGCAGCACAGGATTATGCCATAATTTTCTTTCTGAATAAAATATAAATATCAAATGGAATGACATAAGACGCCCGGTTTTCTAACCCTCTGCAGGTTTCTCTGCTTAGTCAGCACCCAGCTTAACTACTTACCAGCCCAACTGCGCCACTTATCCTCTTTCCACGCCTACGTACCTTGTGTAGTACTTAAGACTCTCCTTCTGCCTCTCCAGCAGAAATCAGTTCTGAACTTTGCCTGTGACATATCACACCCACCAGGTGTCTGCCTGCCGTTAGAACTACATCTTATTGTGTCTGAATGTCCTTCCAATTTAGACTATACAAAGTCAAAGTCTGACATACAATAGTTACAAGGGGGGGGGGGTTCTTGATCTTCCATGAAACACTAAGATTTATATGAGAAAACTGTACTTATCATGGTGAAAACAAAAATTGATTTCTGTGAATACCATTAGGGAAGCAGCAAGATGTAAAAAACACACAGGCTACCCAGTCAAATAGGCTTGGCTTGTACACATTCCTTGTCACTTAAATGATGACTGCTAGGTTGTTTATATTGAGCCTGTTTCCTTACCTGTAAAACAGGAGAGATTAACTCTGGGCTGCTTTGAGAATTAAATGAAACAGTGTGAAAACATTTAGTACAATAATTAGGTTATACAAAGCATATAATACAAATTACCTTCCATTACCCTAAAAACAGATTTTATGCCAAGTCAGCTTTACCTTCACTTGCAAACTTGCTGATGCTACCCTCCTTTCCAGGTCCTCTACTTGCTGGAGAATGTTCAGATCCAGTTCCATAGCTTGCTCCTCTACCGACCAGTTTTCCACGATATCTCGGGTTACCTGATTTTCCTCATTTTCACTCAATTCAATAATAGCAACTATATTTGGAAAGAAAGCAGTTTTTATATCTGTTTCATTTCTAACCACTACCCCATGATGATTTTTTTTTCCCCTAAATGAGAAAAGTGCTAGGGACACTACGTTCATCAAATTTCTTAACATATATAAATGTTCAAGCACACGCAGACAGTTCATTGCTGAATAAGAAATCATCTAAGACACACAAAACTATATTGTATAGGTACAAAGAGTGATTGAAAGTAATGCAATTTGAGAAAAGCAACTAGTCACTGTTGAGCAACACTTAAAATAATTTGTGTGTGTGTGTGTGTGTGTGTGTGTGTGTGTGTGTGTGTGTGTGTGTGTGTGTTGGAGAGATGGCTCAGTGAACAAAAGCATGTACTGTTCATCCAGGACTCCAGCTTGATTCCCAGCACACACATTACATGGCTCACAATCACCTATAACTCAAGCTCCAGGGGATCTAATACCTTTCACCTTTGCATAGATATCTACAATTAAAAATAATAAGAATTTGAAAATAAATAAAAGTAATGAAGAATTAATACAATAAAAATGTTATAGGTTAAAAGACGAATTTTCAGGGCTAGAGAAATGGCTAACTGGCTGCTTTTTCAGGGGACCTGGATTCAATTTCCAGCATCACACTGTAACTCCAGTTTCAGGGGATTTGAAACCCTCACACAGGCAAGTGTGCACATAAAACAAACAACCCAATAAATACAAATAAAAAGAATGAGAGTTAATTTTTTTTTAATAATAATAAAATAAAGAACAGAAGTCTCTTGGGCACGTACCGTCCTTATTCTTGATACAGGCTTGAGTAATGTAATCCAAGTGCTTCTGTATTTGTTTTTGTAATGCCTTTTCCCTTATTCCTCTGAGATGCAGCACTTTGAGCAATGTTTTTAGGTCCTCTGGGTCAATAATTCTCCACCAACCAAACTGCATTTCTAAGTTAGGACAAGTTATATACATAGTTTACATTGTATTGAGTCAGAAATAATGGAACACAGCAAATCTCAAGATTTGTTAGCCACACAAAAATCCATCAAGATACCTTTACAAAAGAGAAATTGTCACAATGAGATATGGTAAGTGACTGCAAGCCACCGCTTTCTACCTACCTTCTGGGATAGGTTTCGGACTAGGGAAATCTGCTGGTTTTGCTACTTCAATAGCTGTTGGCTGAGCTGTGGAGGCCTTTTCTAGTGGAGGGACTGGAGATTCACTTTTACTTGAAGCAACACTGGAGGCCAAGAATGAACTACCATTTCCTTCTGGCAGTCCCAACCCTGAGCCCAGACAGGGCAAAGGTGATGTAAATGGGACATTGGAAGTGAGTACACCAGCAGGCCACCCACAGAACTGAAGTCCCATCATAGACACGCCACTTTTCACCTGCAAAACAAAACATGTTAAACTCAGATTACAGCTCAGAGAGTAAAGACTCCAGAGTTCAGTCCCTAGACTCCAATGCTGGAAGGGAAGTAGCAGAATAGCTCCTGCAACCTGCCCTCTGATCTTCAGTTACTTAATGTGATTTTAAAAAATGTCCACAAAACACAAACAAAATATCCATTATCTAAGGAGTTGGGGGAATGTTTAGAAACTGAAACTATGTTTCAAGTTCTAAAACAATGCCTATTTACCAGGAAAAAACCAAATACATTAGGCACAATGTTAACTTTCATGCTATTAGTCCCCAAGAGTAATTACATTTACTTACACTGCAACTGCAACAATCTGAAACTTAGGGCCAATTTAGACAGAGGTTAGATGTTAGCAGTGCTAATGAATTTGGTGACAGACATTCTGACTGCTTTGGTTTTCAGACTGTGTTAGGACACTTCAACTCTGAAGTGAAGATCTCTAGTACAGTCACAATGTGTTTTATTAGCACTACTCACCTGAAGAGGAGATAATGCAAATGGATTCAATCCAGCAGGGCTCTGAACAGAAGTTGATCCAAGGAGCGGAGCGGGAGCAGGTGAAGGCGACTTAGAAGGTGGCTGAGACGAAGGAGTTACTAAAGCGGCGGACATGTCAGCATGCGTCAGGGAGGTGTCATCACAAGGTGTTCTGGGCAAAAGGCTAAACCACTGTCTGTTCTTTTCAGTCAGTGTTTTCAGCAACTGGTCGTTGGGGAGAGGGCTATACATCTTCCCACAGCTACCTGGGGCGGTGCTAAACAGACCAGTGTCTGTCTTTTCCATGCTGCTCTGTGCTGCTGCCAAGGGAAGGCTCCCCAGTGAATGCTTCCCGCCATTCTGATGAGACAATGTGCATCCATTTGTACTAACATTCCCTTTTGGGGGGGTCATAACATCGGAGTCAGGAGGCATTTTAGCTACTTCCAAAAGCTTGCTTAACTTGGAGAAAGAGCCAGGTTTCTGAAGAAAAAGATTTGTGTTATCTTTTTCTTTAAGGTCGTCCTTTTGCTCACAATGGTCTGGAACTGAACAGTTTAAGGTGTCCGTAGGCGTCTCAAAAACTTCTTCTTTGACCTGGAGATTTTCTGCCTTTTTAAGCTTTTCTTTTTCCTTTGCAATCTCTTCTAGGCCTACAAGAGTGAAAGATGCAGAGTAAGCGCATCCTGCCACTCCTCCATCTTTACTTCTGCTCAAGACTAATCATGTTTAATACGTGTAACCTCCTCTCAGGAGTTACACTACCCACACATACACTACGTAGCTTCTGGCATTCACCATTTTTTCCATGTATTTATTTCCCACCTGCGTAGCTCCTTTGGAGACATATCTGTTCACAACCTTTGTGCCTGTGTTTTGGTTTGTGTATACAACTTATGGCTTAGAATACCTTGTAAATAGGATCCTGTACACTCTTCTGCAACATAGGATAAAATCCCAATGCCTTACTAAGGCCTCAGCACTCTACAAGATCTAACAAACCCCCTATTATCTCTGCACTCTTGGCCCTGGAAAACACTGTTCCTATCCTCCCCACCCCCCCCCCCCCCCGCCTTCTGCTTGTCAAATGTATGAGGACTTTTCTTCAGGGCCTCTGTGCTTGCTTGCTGTTCTCCTGCAGGATAGCACTCTGTTTATTGTTTCTTAGTCTTCATGTCTCAGGTTAAATATCATTTTCTCAAAGCGTCATCTCTGACCATCCTAAGTGTAATCAGTTTCTTCCCACTCGTCTTGGAATGTCATTCTATATTATTTCCTTTATAGAGTTCACCACTGAACACAGAAATATTTTTAATCCTCTCACTTATATGGTAATGAAATTCCAGCTAACAAGCTCTCCTTAACATGGTGGCTGCTGTAAAATAAAGGACGCCGTTAAAGCTGGAGATAGACAGTAACAGAACCCTAGTGTGGCATGCACAAGGCCCATGGCTTCAGTGGTGGAAGGATGCATTTGATTTTCCCTGAAGCTCTACTCTGAGAGCTTACCATGGCAAAACACATCACTGAACCTCATTTCGACCATACACATGATACTCAGTATACCGCATCTAGACAATTCTAGATTAACATTTGAAAGCTCTCACACCCTTCTCTTGAATTAACCCCCAATTAGAATTAATACTATATATCACATTAATTCTCCTGAGGAAGTTAGACACCAGGACTAATTTGTCAAATAACTATAAGCAGCTTATTCGCCCGAGTCTTTGCTGGACCTTCAAATCCCAGGGTCTAATAGTCACAGGAGTCACCCCGAGGATGTGTCTGGAAAGGCAGTCTCCTCCAAAGAGACTGATCACAATTCTGCTTTTTCCCTCTCTCTGTTTTTAAAAGATGCTGAGAGCTCACATAAAGTTTTCCTTTAGGAATAGTGTTTCTAAGCTGGGTGTTGGTGGCACACACCTTTAATCCCAGCACTCAGGAGGCAGAGGCAGGGGGAATCTCTGTGAATTTGAGGTCAAACTGGTATACAGAGATAATTCCAGGACAGGCTCCAAAGCTACACAGAGAAACCCTGTCCTGAAAAACCAAAAAAAGAATGGTGGTTCTATTCCTAAAACAAAAGCATAAAACCAAATGCTTTCGTTACAATTTCTACTATCTTCATATAATTACCCAAATCTCTCCCTGTTGCAGTAGTAAATTTTTCTATAGGAAAACAGACCCTTCTCCTTCCTAAAAAGCTCCTGCTATGATATAGCCCAAGGTGATCTCAAACCCTCACCCTCGGATGTGATGGAATTACAGAAATGAGGCTAGTGCCTAGCTATAGTTTGTTCTTCGTATAAGCTTGTGCCTCTACAGAACCTACACATTGAGAAGACATGTGCTGAAAGAAGTTCTGGATTCTATGTACCATCTAGGGTCAAGAGCCATGTCCTGGGATTCACAAGTCCTGATACAACCTTTCCATCCTATTGGAATTCTGACATTTATGTAGAGGTCTTAGTTCCATTTGGACTTGAGTTTTGTGCACAATAGATATGGGTCTATTTGCAGTTTTCTACATGTCGACATCCAGTTATGCTGGCACCATTTGTCAACCACGCGGAACCTCATAGAAGTAACCTTGAACATACTGGCACAGGAGACCACTTACTAAATGCAACACCAGTAGCACAGACATTGAGAAGCTTCTGTAAAGCAAAGAACAAGGTCAACAAGACAAAACAGCAGTGTACAGAATGGGAAAAGATCTTCACCAACCCCTCATCTGACAGAGGACTGATCTCCAAAATATACAAAGAACTCAAGAAACTAGACATCAACAAACCAAATAATCCAGTTAAAAAATGGGGTTCAGATCTAAATAGAGAATCTCAAAATGGACGAAAGACACTTAAGGATCCTTAGTCATCAGGGAAATGCAAATCAAAACAATTCTGAGATACCATTTTACACCTGTCAGAATGGTCAAAATCAAAAACTCTGATGACAGCTTATGCTGAAGAGGATATGGAAAAAGGGGAACACTCCTCCACTGCTGGTGGGAGTGCAAACTTGTACAGCCACTTTGGAAATTAATATGGCAGCTTATTAGAAAATTGGGAATTGATCTACCTCATCAATACCACTTTTTAGCACATATCCAAAGGACACACAATCACACCACAAGGACATCTGTCCACTATGTTCATTGCAGTGTTATTCATAATAGTCAGAATCTGAAAACAACCTAGATACCAAAGAATGGATAAGAAAAATGTACATTTACATAATGCAGTACTACTCAGTAGTAAAAAAACAATGACATCTTGAAATTTGCAGGCACTAGAGTATGCCATCATGAATGAGGCAAGCCAGACCCAGAAAGACAAATATATGTACACACTCATAAGTGGATATTAGACTTAAAGCAAAGGACAACCAGCGTACAGGCCACAACACCAGAGAACCTAGATAACAAAGAGGACCCTAAGAGAGACATACATGGATCCACCTAGGAAGGAGAAAAGACAAGATCTACTGAGTAAATTGGGAGTGTGTTGGTGGTGGTGGTGGTGGTGGTGGTTAAAGGGGAAAGGGAAGGAGGGAAAAAGTGGGGAAAATGTATAGCTCAATTTAAAAAAATAATTAAAGAAAGGAATTCTGACATGCAGTAACACTCAGTTACAGAGTTCTGAAATGAAAGGCTAAGCTAAATATGCTTTACTCAACACAAAAGTTTAAGATTTATCATAGATTAAATGGAATGGGGTGTTTAAAGATAAAATATCAAAAATTAGTGGTGACAAGAAACAAGTTTGACGGGTTTAGGTGCTCACAAATTTCCAATGTGAACAAGACTTCAAACTGAAACAAAGATTTGAGAAGGATATCAGAGTTAATCTTCTGCCGTTCTGTCATGACTGTGCTTGCTGAAAGGGAGAGCATAAGAAACAGGTCTCAAAGTCTGACAGGGAGAAAAGACACCGTGCAGCAGAGTCACAAGGGGACACAGTGAGGACCACTGCCCACAGTGCAGAAGACCCACATGAGATGGGCAGCAGAAGAAAAGTCACAGGCATGAAAGAAGCATTCATCAGTGTAAGAGGATTTAACAGGATGAGAGTGGAGCATGCACAATGCCCAGTAAAAAAGGACAACTGATTATAAAAGGACACAGGACACAGCAGTAGCAATAAGCTTTTCAAAAATACAATATCCTGGTGGATGGTGGTGGGCCACACCTTTAATCCCAGCACTTGGGAGGCAAGTGAATGTCTGTGAGTTCGAGGCCAGCCTGGTCTACAGAGAGAGTGCCAGGACAGCCAGTGCTGTTACACAGAGAAATCATGTCTCAAAATATAAAACCAAACAAACAACAGCAACAACAGCAAATACAATATCCCACTTAGGAGACTAGTAGTTCTTACCTTCACCACTTTCCATGCCTTCTACAAAAATCCCTCCACACTGAGGAAGAACCCAGTATCTGCGTCGGTAACGATCTTGACCAAACATCATCGAGCGTAATGAGTGAGAAGCATCAAAGAGCTTTCGCCTGTACTGGCTCTGTTGCTGTTAAAAGGCCATCCATAGGATTACATCACAGACACTAAGTGCCTTAAAAGTTAACAAAGGTTCTCTGTTTACTGTGTCATTATACTGCACAGCAAAAGGACTAAATGTTACATACACAATACAATTCTAGTCACACTGATGACAAAAATTAAGGATAATTTCAAAACAAATGAGGATAATAAGAAAGATCTTAGATTCAAGCAAGAGCTTAAAAGGTAAGTTTTATTTTACCAGGATCTTCTTAAGGACATAAAAACATGATTGTATATGCCATCAAACACATTACTAAGCCAAAACAAATTGGTTGATTTCGGTGCGTTGCCAATACTTCTGCATATAGTTAACCACACCTGCATTTGCTTGGCTTTGTACACATGTTCTATGCCTTGTCAACACATGCCTAAATTCTGACATACAGCTAGGGACTGAACATTAATACAATAATATTAAGGAATACTGCTTAAAAACTAATTTTGCTGCCATGAATCTGAAGGAGAGTAAGAAGTGTCTAGGGAAAGCTTGGGGTTTAAAGAGAGGGAAAGAAGAAATGCTATAATTACATTATAATCTAAAAAACAAAACAACTTATTTTTTTTCTTGAAAAGACTCCTCTTAAATTTTATTAATGACACTGAAAGCAGAATATAAATTTTAATGATAAATACCTAAGTATATACAGTTTAATGTAAGTACAATAAATGCATTCACAAGTAAAAAAATGAAACATGAATATTTAAACTATTACTATAAACTCAGAAAATTTTTGAGTTGGCTAGTTTCAAGAGATTATATTTTACTGATACATTAATTCAAAGGTACAACTGAGGACTCTAGAACTCCTTCTTCACAGATTTGCATAAGTACAATGCCTTCAGAGGTTTCTAACCGTAGCATTGAGCTACGGTGAGGTTTAAGTGTGAAAGTGTTTCTAGAGTTCTTCTGTTTAATTACTTATAGAAAGTTGTCTGTTACTTAGAAGTAAGAAAAACAAATCCCGCAAACATAGATTTTAGAACACACATCAGAACATACTTACTTTGCTCAGTTTTTCAATCTGCTTTTCTAGCTCTTCAACACTTGCTGCCTGGTCACCTTCATCCTAGGTGCAACAAAACACAGGCTTATTCATCTGCTTGAAAGTTTCATTGTTTAATCATCAAATACTGCATGAGTGCAACACACACACACACACACACACACACACACACACGATTTTATATATAAAGTATATAGAGCAGTAGAAGAAGCATGGTGGTCTCTCCAGGGGGCTCTTGAGGATGTTTTGTTTCTCTTTTGTCAGTGCTGAGGGTTGAATTTCTGAATTTCAGTGCTGAGGCTTCATATATGCAACCTAAGGTTTTAACACCGAGCTGTACCCTCAGACCCACTTTTTAAGGGGAGTGCTTCAAGTGAGGGCCTTGTGCATGACACATGAACATTCAATCATTGAGCTACATCCTCAGCCCTTTAATTTTGGATATTCCCCTGATCAATTTTTTTTCTGACATTCCCATCCACAAAGCAGCACTTTTTCCTGAAGTCACAACTACTCGTTCATGTACATGAGAAAAGAGACTTATACCTAGTGAAGAGAAGTGAAGGGAGGAAAGACTTTCCTAGTTTTACCATCACGTATTAGTTACCCAAATCTTATCCACAGTCGGGGACAGCAGTATTCTGGGTTTTATATAAATTGTTTGAGCTAAAAGTAACATGAATTCTAACTTGATAAAATAAACCTCAAAAAGACAATAGGCTCCCAAACATTCAACTAGATACTTACATATTGATGTAAAGTGATCTTTTGATAAGCGGGGCAAATGAGAATTTACAAAGAAAGAATTACATTCCAATCAATAGATAATTGGAATAAGGTAACAAAGTAGCAATGCACCAGCCAAATCAACCAATCACCTTTCCACTTGTTTTGTTCTAGGGCCTGGCAAAAACAAGGCAAATTTCTACAACTGTGGAATACCGTGACCTACAAAATGTAATTTTTAAGATTTCTCTCAGGATGAGAAAGAAATAATAGTCTACTAAGTTTTAGTTAATGGAATTTTGATTCATCATAATTTGAGTTGGGTGGTGGTTGTGTTCATCTTTAATCCCTCACTTGGAATATAGAGGCAGGCAGACATCTGTGAGTTTGAGGCCACCCTGGTCTACAAGAGTGAGTTCTAGAGCACCCAAGGCTACACAGAGATAACCCTGTTTCAAAAGCAAAACAAACAAAAACAAAAAAAGAAGTGTACCAAAAGCCAGGGTGTGGTAGTGCACACCTTTAATTCCAGGACTTGGAAAGCAGAGGGAGACGGACCTCTCTGACTTTGAGGCCAGCCTGGTCTACAGAGCATGTTTCAGGACATCCAAGGCTACACAGAGAAACCCTGTCTGGAAAAACACCAAAACAGAAAACAAAACAGGCAAACAATAAAACAAAACCCCATAATTTTAAGTAATACACAAGAAATAGGAAGATCAGAGAGGGAGGTGCAAGAGAAAGGACGTACATAATAAACTGAAGACAGAAATTACCCTCACCACGGTTCTATACTGCTTCTTAATCCAACACCTTTGTGCTAAAGTTTAATGTTCAACACAACCGCGTGCACATCACCTAATGAGGGCACAGCTGAACTAAGGCTCAACACAAGACCAACAATTAGAGGGGTCGGTTGGAGGAGTAAGAGTGGAACAAAAGGGAATTGACTGAGACAAACTGTATAAGAGGGCCGAATCTTCTAATTGGAGGGATCACTTGGGCCTTAGTGGAAAAACTCCCAGTAATTAATCCTTCAAGGGCTATAACTATTGTCCTGACACACTAACTAGAATTAGAAGCCAAGGCTGTTCTTGGATATCATCAGTACTTTATTTAATTCACGTCTACCACGTCTTTATTATTATAAAGACTCCCTCAAATCATTTCAAGGGGGAAAAGACTTGTTTTTCCTTTAAAAAAATTATTCAATATGCATGCACGTGCACAACAATTAATGAGAAAAGAGGCCATAAATGTGAGAGCAAGAGGGGTATATTGGAGTTTTCAAGGGAAGAAAGGAAAGGGGGGAAAAGATAATATGGAAAAAATAATAGTGACATAAAAAATAAAAATAAATGGGACAGGAAAAAAAAAAAAAAAAACAAACTTTTTAAGACAAAGCTTTGCACTGCAGCATTGGCTGGCCTGGAACTCTCTTTGCAGACTAAGCCAGCCTTGAGCTCACAGACATGCTCTGCATCTTGGCCTCCAGGGTGCAGAGTATGAGCCACTCCTGCTGCAACTTATTTTGTAAAATGGGGCCTTGGTATGCATCCAGGACTAGCGGTGGCCTCCTTATTCCCCTCCTCTTAGTCTCCCAAGTGCTGCAATACAAGCATGTGCCACTCTGTCCAGCTAATGGAAACATAAGCTGGGTTTTTAAGACCCCAATATCTATTACTTTTATGAGTTTTATACCATTTTCTTGTGTCAATAAGAAGAAACACAGCTGTAATAAGATCAACATTCTAACTTTGATTACTCATACTGTAGCTATGTTAAATGACATAACCCTGAGAAACAGAATCTATACAGCTCTGAAGACGATTCCAAGGATGAAGACAGTCATGTGTCACTTATCAAGATGGAAACTTTCAGAGCAACACACTGTTAGTGATTTCATTACTTGAACATCACAGAGAACGCTGAAACAAAACAAGGTGGCAACAATGTCAGCAGGTGATAGAAGCTTAGGGGACCACTGTCACACATCTGTAAGTAGAATGTCTGCACATGCAGAGCAAGTTTCTTTCCACGCTCAGCCATGCCACCGAGTGCTTCCTTAATTATCACAAAACACTTTAAGAGACAAATACACTACCTTCAGGCTGGGAGCACAGCACAGGCAAGACTGGTGGGGGAAGAGAGGACAAAGAAAAGGAAGGAGGAGGAGGAAGTAATTTTCAGATGAAGAAACTGGGACAAGTAAATGGCACAGACTGAATTCAAATCACAGACCCTTGGCCTTAAATATCGTTTTGAATTTTGGCAAGCTGCACAGCTCTTATTAAATCATATACATGAAACTGAACTTGATTACCTCATCTTCACAGATATCGGCCTTCTTGCCTTTCTTGTCATCTTTATCTTCTTCATCTTCATCATCCTCATCAGCTTGGTCATCACTGTCATCATCGTCGTCGTCGTCATAATCACTGTCTCCTCCCTTCCTTCTCCGCTTGCGTCCTGGAGTGGGTGTGCCCAAGGGATGGTGCTCTTCCCCAAGATCAATACCCCCTGCACTGTCTCTCTTGCCTGTTTTCTTAGCATGAATAATCCTGAGCCTTTAAATATTAAAAGAAAGACAGAATAAGAAGCTACTCTTGTGACTTTTAAAACCCTAATGTTTATGAGCACAACGCTAGGTTTTCTTTTCCCCCTCTTTGTCAGGGCAGAGGACTCAATGCAGTGTTTCCTAGGTAATCATCTACTGCTAAGCTATATTCTCCCACCCAGCACTCACCATCTAAAGCTGAGTCTTACTTTGTAGCTCAAGCTTTCACCTCCTATGTGCTACGATTACAGGTGTGCACTACCACAACCCAATCGTAATGTGAGTCTTAAGCAACAATATCTTACACTTGTGTAGTAAGCAATATATCAATGGCAGTAACAAATTCAATTAAGGAAATTTAAGACATGTATTTCCACAAGTTATAGAAGATATAAAGTTCTATGAATTGTATTTTGGTAATTTGACAAAAAAAAAAAAATCATGAAAGCTGAGATGAGTAATTCTAACAATGATCAAACGAGACTTCCTGATTTCTATATACTATGTGCTTAACTAAATTCCAATTCAATTACTGCAAAGAAACTAACCTCATAACATTTTAAAAATTATACTTATTCATTTTTATTTTATGAATTTACTTGCATGCATGTATGTGTACCATGTGAGTGCCTGGTGCCCACAAAGGACAGAAGAGGATGTCAGGTCTTTGAACTACCATGTAGGTGCTAGGAATTAAACCCAGGTCCTTTGGAAGTGCAATGAGCACTCCCAACAACTGAGCCATCTGTGCAGCCTACAAACTGTTCTTTTTGTGCATTTATTTACTTTCATTTTAGAAAGGAGATCACCATGTAACTCTGGTCTTAAACTCTACACCTTCCTGCTTCAGTTTCCCAAATGCTGAGATTACAGGTGTGAGCCATCTGCTTGGAGGACTATATACCATTTTAACACAGCACTTGAATATCTATACTGTTATTTATTTCCTAGAAGGAAGATAATTACATTTCAATGTTGAATAATTTTTATTAGATTTTGTAGAAGAGGATTTTAATTAAAAAAAAAAAGTCATTTGGAGAGGATGGTCTCAGATATTAACTAAGACAAAAGCAATCTAGTAACAACAACAATAGCAGAAAACATGGTTGCCTGATTTCACTGAGAGAAAAAAGAGGAAATTTATCTTTAAGTCTGAAGCATGAGTTCAATGAATCTAATTCTATTTTTCTTGTCTGCTACAGACTCTGACCCAAAGTTTTATTAATTTTAGATTCCATCAATCATTTCGGACTCCTGATTAAGTAGTAGTTTCCCTGTAGAAAGAGTAACATTGTAAACTGTCTTTCCAGCCCACATGCCTTATTAGAGACTTGAACTAAAAGGAGACAACACATTAGATAAACAAAATAGGAATAGGACTTACTTGCGGAGTTTACCTTCAACTACCCATTTATCTCTCCTCAAGTTTGACATATACTCAATGTTCTTGTCAATCTCACTGCCAATACAAAAATTTATTAAAAGATATAATCCATTGCAATGCATTCATTTAGTATTTAACATCTTATATTTTAGAAGATAAAATAAGTTTCACATCCATCCACATGGCTTTATTCAAGGACATTTACTTGAAGAAGCAATCATTTCTTCACTGGCTATAATGTTACTATTACTTTTGTTTCTACTTTAAGCCAAGAGAGCTGTAATACATTCTCACAATTACTTATAAAAACAGTATTCTGGTGTGACTGGCATATATTTAGGGAGTAACCATTTCAAATTCAAATGGGAAATTAAGGTGTACATGGATATTTACATAAGTATATATATACATAACTTATGTACAGATAATATCTCTGTCCATGTATATGTTTACTCTTCTAAAACAAAAAACATTATTGTTCTCTGTATATTGAGTTTACATGTATGCACAAATATTTTAAAGAACCACTCAGCATTCCTATATGTTAGCACACTTATGCATAATGCAATAATTTCCTGATTCAAAAGGTATTATTATATTCTTGGAGACATTTGAAAAGAATGCAAAAAATAATAACAATCGTATCAATATATCATAGCTAAGATATGCCTACCAATGGTAGAAATAAATTCACAAATCCTTTTTTATGAAAATGTAAAAGACTAAAAGTAACACAAAATTTTAGACAAACTAAGAATAAGCAAAGCATAAATGGTGAACCTGAAATGCTAGAATACTAGCTAACTCTTGTTCATAGTAAATACTGAAGTGCCAGGTGAACTTGGAATCTTAAATGAGATTAAGTACTATTGAAAAATAGTATAAACTACTTCACTGACAAACTAGTAATCTAAGGTTATATTAGCATACAACCAAATAAGTAGCTGGACGATCTTATGAATTGCTAAAGAAAATCAGATCCTCAAATATATCAAGAAAAGCAAAGTTGTTATGGGTTGCTATAATGGTTCTAAATTCTAGCACAGTAGCAAACAATAAAGATCTCCACCACATGAAGAAGGAGCAAAAATGATGAAATAACACAGGTAACAAAGACTACAGATTATACAGAAAGATCGTTATTGTCAATGGAACACAGAAATAAACTGAAATACTTTTAGTGGCTATCTCTAAATGGGATTTAAGATTTTCATTCTCTTCTTGGTGCTAGTTTCTAAAGTCCAAAATTTTTCTATAAGCAATTTGCATCACCTATGATTAGACACATTCCAAAGAGGGAAGGACTAACTTACCTCACCACGCTCTTGCTACACGCCAGTTCATTGATGAGGAAGGCAAGGACTGAAGCTTTCTGGGCTGGAGTATGAGCCTGAAAAGCTTTAGTCTTCAGGCTCTCAGTCAGCTCTGTCTGTCCACAGTGCGCTTCCATGAAAATCTGCAAAACCTCGGACACATTGTCTCGATTCACGCCAACATTCAGCAAATGCTCTCCCAGAGCGGTTTTGGCCTATAAAGTTTGGCATTTTATCAGTGTTTACCATATTCATTCATTTGAAAATAAGGACAAAATATTGGCTTATATATAATGCTCTAGATGTTGCTGATAAGGACTTTATTTAATCACAGAATTGGAGCAGAGATTAAAAAAAAAAAAAGACATCATGATAGACAGATAACTCGAGTGTCTATCCTGTTCTACCCCCTTGCTAAACCCTCACTGAACTGAGGTAGGGACAGGAGCTTGAATATTGGCAGGAGACAGATTTAAGTAGTTGACCAAGTCGTCTTTGTCTGTAAAGAGATTTTCTAAGCAATGGAGAGTAGGGATGATCAAAAGCACTGTTACTATTTTCTACCTTTAGTTATGACACGTTTTATAGGTCAGAACAGCGAGTAGGCACATGGAGAAAAACAAAAACAAAACAAAACAAAACATATCTGAGTATGAGGAAAGACAAATGTGAACAAATGGACTATCTACTGACCAATACAGAATCAACACAGTGACCTATGTGTGATTCATTAGCCTGATGTTCAGGACAATTGAAAAAGGAGAAGTTCAGAATAAGCATGCAAGTTCTAAATCCTTTAGAAATAACAACTGTTTTTGATAGATACCACGGGCCTGTAATAGACTTGGACTTTGCCTACAGCTAGAGCAATAAAGAATAACCAAGAGACTGGTCCATATTTCTCAGTTTAATAAGATTTCTCTACATTTGGCCCAATTGTAACCTAGTATAAATCTATATACAACTCCGGGAGATATATGTGAGCAGTGAGATAAAAAGGAGTCTCTCTACACAATCTTCTGCTATCATGGAAAAGTAAACCAGCAATGCACAGAGAGTACAAACTTAAAGCAATTGGTTAGATTTTGGTTTTTTACCTTGTATCCTGTAATCAGACCTGGATCACACACAGCAGCTGAGAGGAGTCTCACAAGCAAGTCTTGTACTTCACCCATGCTGTCCCCTACATTTAGCAATCCCTCTTGAAGGACACTGAGGTTGGGAACATCAATATTCACATCAAAGCCCAGAACTTTACCAAAGTTTCGTAAGAACTGTACCACCATGAGACAGTCTGAAAATGTGGTTCCAGAGAGGACAAGTCCCGGGATGCGAGGCCACTCTGGCAAGGGCTGCAAACAAAACACAGGGAAAATTAAAATACCTGTAAGAGTTAAAGTGGGGCTTTATTTGTGTAAACAGGGTTATGTATGCATTTACACGTACGAATACATGTCGACATTGAGTGTCTTCCTCAATTGCTTATTAAGCATTTATTATTTATTTATGTGTGTGTGTGTGTCTGTGTTGTATGTGCATACAACAGTGTGCCTGTGGAGGTCTGGGAACAACCTGTAGGAGTAAGTTTTCTCCTTCTACCATATGGGCTGTGAAGTCATCAGGCTTGAGCAGCAAACACTTTACCCATCTAGCAAAGCTATCAGCCATCCTCCAAGCACCAATTAGTTTTAAAAGTGTCTCTCATCAAGACCCTCAGGGATCATCAATTTGGCTAGACTGGTTGACCAGGGAATGTCTTCCCCCTGTGTTCTGGATTTACAGACACATGTGGACACGCCTCTGCCTAGCTTTTCGTGTGGGTGTTGGGGATGCTCATTCTGGTTCTGATGCTTGTGTGGTAGGCACTTCACTGAATGAGTCATCTCTCCAGTCCCCCAAATTACACTTTTTCCTGTCACTTAAAAGTAACTAAAGCTGCTATATTTCTTTCTTTTGTACTAGAGGGTAGATTTCCTGTGGACATTTCTACAGATCCCATGGTACTAAGTAAAGTGGCTTGAAGGCAAGCAATCTGGGTTGAGCTCAATAGGAACTCAAATTTTTGACAGCAGAAACATGAATTTAAATATGCTTATATATATTGATAAAATAAGGTTATTTAAATTAAATAACCCGAACACTCATACCAGTCACATTTTACGGTACACGCCTGAAATACCAGCATTCAATAAACAGGTGAGGTACTGAAGACCTCAAGGCCAACCTTGACATACAGTGAATTCAACACCAGCCTGAGCTACACAAAATCCTGTCTCAATAAATAAATAAATAAATAAATAAATAAATAAAAATAAAAAAATAAAAATGCAGAACCAATCAAACAACCAAAACAAAAAAACAAACAAACCAAGCATAACAAAATAAATAAGTGTTTCAAAAGTACCGTGCCACTACATAATTCACAAATGTGCACTGAGCTTTAATGATAGAGATGCTGAAATCCCCACTGTTTAATGGTTGCTCAGAATTGTTATGAGTGTGAGCCCTGGGCATTCCGGTTGGGAAGAGTGGTACCATCTACAGCTAATGGCTGAAATATGTCAATTGATCCACACTGTAGGCACTCAGGAGTCTGATTACAATGCAACTCTAGGGCTTTAGGTTTCTCTGTGTTTAATGAATCATCAATATGAGTTTTAGTATTAAAATTAGAGAGAAATCTCTTTGATGTTTCTCAAATACCCACACAAGGTAACTCTTTAATAATTAAGCTACACTACATTTATCACAAACATTAAAAATTCAGTCAATAGGTAATGTAAATTAGGGATATTTTGCCCATGTATGGATTTCTTTAAATAACAATTTAAATTTTATATGGAAAAGGTGACTTACAAATATTATCTAAATAAGCCCTTTGCTCTGCACTTACTTAGGTAACTCACTGAAGAGGTTCTTTTTAATACTGTTTGAAAAACAATAAACTATGCATAACAGTTAATGCTCTATTTGAAAGCCAGTTAATTACGAGTCTTCCTTTTCCCTGAACCATATGATACACACACTTCTACATAATTCTAAAAATTTATAAAACAAAGCTAAAAAAAAAAAGAGTATGGCTTAAAATAAATACATATTTGACAAGACAATCCACATGGTTTAAGTAAGTGCAAATAAAAGATGTAAGATAGCCAGGCAGTGGTGGCACACACTTTTAATCCCAGCAATGAGGAGGCAGAGATAGGTGGATCTCTGAGAGTTCAAGACTGGCCTGGTCTACAGAGTGAGTTCCAGGACAGCACACAGAGAAACCCTGTCTCGAAAGAGGGTGGGGGGGAGAAGGGGATAGAGAAGATGCACAATAATAAAGTACATTTAGAATTTAAACAGTCTGTCTGCTCACTATAAGTTTGTCAAATGTGTCAGCTAACTTACAGAGAAAAACATTCTGCTTAGGAAAATGTCAAGATCCAAACAAGTAGAACTGGTAAAATATACATTAATTTTTATGTTAGGGCAGTTATGCTAAGGAAAACAAATTGAACGTTAATACAATACAACCCCTACTGAGACACTAAATATTTGTGTTAAGCACACTACACAACAGATGGACGTGGCAGAAACTTGCAGCTGTCAGGGACCATGCATGGTGATATATTACAGGGTAGTTAGAAACTGCATGCATTACTGATAACACTTTCTACAAGCACCATGCTCTGAGCTATATTCAAAACTACACTTATTTCTCCTCCAAAATCCAGCATACCATGTTGTTTCTAAGGTAATTCTGATCTTTCCAAATAGCTACTCTTGTGTCTGACGGATGCAGACTGGAAGAGACAGCCTCAGGTCCCATGCACGGCTGGATGGAACCTTGTGGATTTCAAGGTGATAAAGAACAAGGCCTCTAACAGCAGACAAACTGGCTTCAATATACTGTTCGTCAGCTGTGTGGTCGGGGCAGGTCTCTTCTTTAGTTTCAGCCTTTCCATCAATAATTGGAGACAATTCTATACTACAGCCATGGGACTTTATGGAAGACTAGATCAAAACATATAATTCAAGGGATTCATATAGGCACCCAGCACAGGGCCAGGCATACAGGGACACATTCAGTAAAGATCGGCTAATGAACTAAAGGAGCTCACAGATAAACCTAATTTAGGTAAATATCGAGACTTTCTATGCCTCAATTATTGGACAGTACAAGACTACAAGACAGCCAGTGGGACACATCTGCTTCTCTGACTTTCCCTTGTGTATTTCTGTGGGGTTATCTATGAAAATGGAGTGATGCAAGGACCACAAGGATGGCTGACAATCCAGGCAAGACTAACGTGGGCTTGGAAACTTGTGGTAATTGGGGACAAGCAATCTGGTGAGAGAAAAGGAGAAATCAGGTTTGTCAGTGACACGGCTCAGGCAAGAGTCACCTTTTGGTCTGCCAAGCACATATCTTCATGAGGTTTCTTCAGTTCCTTTGCCATTTCTAATTCCAATCTCCGCTGCTCTAGTTTGCGTTCCTTATTCAATCTCTTCTCATCGCGTTTCTCTTGTTTCAACCGCTCTTTTTCCTTAAAGAGAAAATAATGCACACGGATGCTTAATCCCAACAAATGTCTGAAAACACTCTAATAGATATATTTCCAAAGTGATCAAACTATTATTATTTCAACAAAATCATCTAGGAATTGTGTAGAAATGAGGACTTCCTTTAATATTTCAATGTTTGAATTTCTTAACAAGTGTCTGTGCATGTGTGCACGACTATGTGTGACACTATGCATCTGACTGCACTGTTCACTGAGGTCACAAGCTTCAGATCCCTGGAACTGAGTTCTGAGCATTTGTGAGCTGCCTGACATGGGTCCTGGGAATTGAACCTGGGTCCTCTGCAACTACGCTATTTCTTCAACACAGTCAGCTACTGGATTTTAAAATAATTGTATGGTTGGTAGTCACATTATATATCTTTACTATGTAACCAAAAACTTTTAAATCTTAGGACTATGTACACTTAATATTAGACTCAGTGTAGACATCTATTACTCAAAATTTGTTTGATCCTTTGTCTTTGGATGAAAACCATTGTTACTCAAGGCACATGGACAACAAGCTAAGAGACCTGGTATCAACACAGATAAGTGTGTGGTCGCTGGATGGGACAGAAAGTCTACCTTAAGTGTACCAAAAGTTGAGACATGGTAACATACACCTTTTTGCTAATAACAATTTGCAAGTATGAATGAAGTGCATTCTTAGTTGCTACATTAGTAACTGCCGCTGTGCACATCATTAAAAAGTCTAGGTTAGTCCCAAATTTTTAATAGTAGTTTGGAAATCTTGCAGAGGAAGGCAGATTTTGGTGAATTCAAGACCAGCCTGGCAGCCAGGTATTGGTGGTGTACTCCTTTAATCCTAGCCCTCAGGAAGCAGAGGCAGGAGGATCTCTGTGAGTTCGAGGACAGCTGGTCTACAAGAGCTAGTTCCAGGACAGGCTCCAAAACAATACAGGGAAACCCTGTCTTGAAAAACAAAAACAAAAATAACAAAAACAAAAACAAAAGATCAGCCTGGCCTTCTGAGCAAGTTCCAGGACAGCCAGAGCTACATAGAGAAATCCTGTCTCTAAAAAACAAAATAAAGGAAGGAGGAGGAGAAGTGGACCAAAGTACACACTTGTAGAAACATCTCAGTCTCAGAGCACCTGTGATGATATATTAGCTAACATTGTAAACAGGAACGACAATCTAAAACAACAATGTTGGAGGTAATGCCAAAAGCACTGCAATGTTTAGGTAATGACAACAGAGAAATGACTGTATTTGATGCAGGGAATAAACTGTCAGGAAAAAAGGAGAAATTTTCTATTTATACTATCATTACTTTAATATCACATATCAAATATAAGATTCCTTCACTCTGAGGAGAAATAACAGCTGAAGGTTAGGGAATTGGCTGAGTGAGAAAAGCACTTGTGTAATGTGAGAATTTGAGTTCAAATCCTAGGGATCAATGTGAAGCCAGACGTGGTAGTGTATGCAGTGTTTTTAACCTCAGCACACCTACTGGGAGATGGGAGGCAGAGACAGTAGAACCCCTAACAGCTCATGGCCAGCTAGTCTGGTATATATAATAGAAAAATACCCCAAAACAACTAAAAGTAAAAAATCCCCATCATAAGACCCATGTATGGGACAAGGATCAACCTCTAAGACTGTCCTCTGACCTCTGCATGTTAGCAAGCACTTATGCACACAAGATTTTTAAGATCCAGACAATTCCATAAACCTTATAGACTAACTGCAAGTAAAGACATGCAAGGCCAATGCATCTTTCTGAATGAAAAGCCTTTTTATTCTCTTATAAAATAAATAATGTCTTAGTCTTAACTTCTGAATTCCCTTCCTTCTGAACCATATCTCTCACTTTTAAATTGAATGTCAAACTATATTATATCCACAATGTATGATGTTATTTCCTTTCTAATGTGTTGGCTCTGTCTAGCACAAGGAAATGTTAAACATCTTTTTCTCTCACCAATTCTTATGGTCATCTAGAGATGGTTCATCAGGTGAGAGCCCTGGCTGCTCTTCCAGAGGCCCTGGGTTCAATCTCTAGACACGCCTGGTGTGTCTGAGTTCAGACACAAAACATGCTTAAGAAGTCTGTGGTTGGCACGTTTAGTATTTGAATGAAGGTGCTCGGGACCTCTACACATGCTATAATATTAGTTTTGTGACGTACCGGTTAGAGTAATAAAGAGCTACAGCTAGCTAAACCACACCACTCAACACACAAAATCATGACAAACCTGTACTCTGAAAAGAATACAATAGCTCCTGTTTCAGGGAAACAAACATGTAATTTCTAAGGTAATATTCTAGAAATACATACTTACTTCTGCTTTCTTACGAGCTTCCATAGCTTTCATAAGCATCATATGTTGTCGCCTGCGTTCCCGTTCCTATTAGGCCAGATGAAATTAGGAGAACAACTCAACCACAGTTTAACTGTTTGGCTTTCAGATGAAAAACAACAACAACACCAACAAAACAACAACAACAACAACAACTCAATATAGCATGTTTAGCATTTATAGACAGGTCACAGTAAATACTAAATATAAGACAAGAATGGCCATTCTGTGCATGTTTTAGTTCAGGTTTAGAAAGCAAATACAAGAGCAATCAACAGCAAAAAGGTGAAGCAATGAGAGCATGAGGACAGTGTAAACAGAGCATACAAGGTTTACTTATGGTCAGCTGTGATGCTCCTTCAAAAGCTGCCAGAACAAAAAAGCATAATGGTTGGCTGGAACAGGTCAGTTACCTTACATCTGCTATTAGAAAAACCACAAAATGCTATAGCCAAATTTACAAGGTTATAGTGTTCTTAAAATTTAAGATCAGGCAGAAATTAATCCATAATCACTTTCACATCGTGGTTTTAGAATTGATTAAGTTAATTTCAAGTATAAAATCATTTTTAAATCCAATAGTCCACCAATAAATTAGGAAGATTTTTAAAAAGTGTTTATACCAATTAAAAGTTAAACTAGTCATGGTTCATACACATATACCAATGAAATGTGATATTCCTATTTACTGATGTCTGATGCTTGATGCACTATTTAAAGGTATAAATGCTGTACCATGGGCAAATAAGAGTAGTCTAAAATGCCCAGTATAGCAATAAGGTAAGCAATACCTTAATTTGGTAGCTACTTTTAATGTAAAAATTGCAGTTATTATTAATATTTAATCAACATTTTAGATTTAATATATTTGATCCCCCAAAGGGGTAATCCAAAATTTAACTATAAAACCAGGATATATTTCATATTCTCTCATCACGCAAATTCAAAATTACCATTGTACTTAATGGCAGTTTTGCATCTACAAGGATGGGAGAATATGGGTCATAATTTTATCTAAATGTATAATGAGTCAACTTTCCCTGTGACATCAGTAATATACATTTTTAGAGAGAGGTTTTATGCAATTCAATGAAAAATCTTGGAGATGTATCACACTTCTTTATAGACAGACAAGCAGATGTATGCAATGCACTGTGCTGTAAAGCCATGCAGCAGTATGTAATATGACAGCAGCCAGTGCTACACTTTATGCATTGCTATGACAACCATATCACAACCAAATCACAATGCGGTGTTAGATGTACAAAAATAAACATACCCATACCATATCTAGTCTATGCCTCTCCAACTCCTGGTAGAAAGAGTTGGCACAACATTATGAAACAGAAATCACAGAGTCATAAAACCAATTTTAACCCCCCAAAGACACCAATACCAAGGCAAGGCAATAAACTGTAAGACAAGGAGAAAACCTAAGCAAGAATTAACAAGAAATTTTAAAGAATGTATTTTGAAGATTCCCACCCCCCAAATCGTTAAGCAAAATGATAAGTACTTTGCACAGTTACGGTTCTGTGCATACAGACCTGGTGCTTCAGAAGGACGGCCTGCTGTCTTCTCAGTTCCTTTTCCTTAAAAATAAGAAGCTTTTAATATATGGGTTTTTGGAGAGATTAAAGTACATTAAGTAATACAAATTGCATTTTCTGATAAATTTTAGCCTTCTAATAGGCTTAATCACAGAAAAAGTTCACTATTCAATCTTTCTTAACTTGATAAGGCTCACTTAATGCAGATAGCTATCACAAACTGTACGGCATAATCAGTAGCAAAGATGTTTTCCCGTTAAGTCATTTCAACGTAAAATTCAATGGAAAACTGAAAAACATACTTCAATGGCAAATTCAAATATAGCACATTAAAAACAGTACATGCATTTTAACAATTTATGATTGAAGCCTTAAAACTAGCTTATCAAAGCCCTTCCCCATTCTAAAGTTCCAAATATACTCATGTGTGTGTGTGTGTGTGTGTGTGTGTGTGTGTGTGTCTGTCTGTCTGTCTGTCTGTCTGTCTGTCTATCCACCAGCAGTTCACATTACCATCCAAGGGGATGGGACATAATGCAAAACAAGTATATAAGTTTGTTGCCTATTGACTATTGCTTAGCAAGGTAAAATCTAAGAGAAATTAATATTAAGGGTAAACATGAAGGAATATAGAAGAATTAAGACTTCCTTATTCTAGAGAACAAAGTACAGGAGTGTATGTTGAAAAGACTGCAAGCTAGAGCTAGGGCTGAACTTAGAAGCAGAGCCTTGCTCAGTTGCGTAAACTCTGGTTCATTCCAAGCACTCCCATGGTGCCCCCAAACAAAAACCAATGAGCAAACTGCAAAGCATTCTCTTGGCTCTATTTGGAAGAGCTGTGCTGCCAACTAGAGCTCCAGCAGGTTCATTCAGCTGCTGCCATTCAGAATTCAGGGGAAGGGAAAAGCTAAGTAGAGAAGCAATAGAGTGAACAGAACATCTCTCTGTGCTTCATGCCAGGGAATTGTGGTCAAAACACCTCAACAATTTTGCTACAGTTATATAATGGACTGACTTTATTATTATGTAACCACAGTCCAGTTCTTCCCACTTATTTATTTGTTGGTTTATAGACTGGGTCCTGCTATGGCACTGGACTTAACTTCCAAGCCTCTTATGTCTGCCTCATGACCGTAAGCATGGCAGGTATGCATCACAATGACAGGATTATGCACTTTGTTTTTAAATAAGAAGAACATTTACTGGACACTAACAAAGAGAGAGTTATGAGGGGACAGTCAGGTTTGGGGCATGGTTTGAAGCATAAACATAAATGACACATAAGCTAGTCCTGGTAGTCATTCTTATCAAGCAAAACTTAAAATCCAGATGCCATGCAATAGTTTACATTTCTGATTTGATGTCTTCCATTTACACATATCAAAAAAAGCACATAAAACCTACAGTAAGAAATAAAAAAAAACATACAAAAATATACATAAAAATAAAAGCACACATTTACACACATATTTTACAATGGTAGTTTTGAGAAAAACTATTTTTTTCATCATCAGTGTTGTGCAAATTAAGTTTTTATTTTTGAAAATAAAAACTCTTGATTCCCAGCTAAACTAACCTTTGTTCGTTTCTCGGCCTCCAATAATTTGGCATTTGCCGCTTCTTCCTTCTTTTTCTTTTTAGCCTGTGCATGCAAAACAGGTCTCAAGTCATGCAACAGCACCGCTAGGACTTGCAAATAACCTCAGACTCGAAGCTACATGCCTCACAAGGTACAAAACAATCATGTAACACATATGCAGACAATTACAAATATCCCCACCCCACAATGCACTGTTTCCAATCAGCAGATCAGTGCTAAAACATATATGAACACCCTCAAAAAAAAAAAAAAAAAAAAAAAAAGTCACAAGACAACATTTTTTTCCTTTGACAAACTTCTGAGATAACATTATTTTACCTTGACACTTGAGATAAAAGATTGATTGCCATGTATTACATTTTGGAGGGTTTTAAAAGAAAATTTACTTTCTGAAAAAGTTTTAGAAAGAATTAATATTAATGGATAAAAAGAACTTAAAAATTGATCACTAACATTTAAAGTACATATCTACCTTTTGGAATTTCCTTTAATCCTTGATATTTTAGATAAGGAAATCCATTATTTGGTCGTGGGCACTTTTAGTAAATCTGATTTTCACTACCACTGTACAATGGGTCTTGATTTAGGGTTTGTTGTTTAATAGGACAGAGCCTGCACTCTGACAACCAGCATCACAGTATACCACCTGAAGTTACTTACCATCTGTGAGTTTCCATCTACCTGCTAGTTATTGTTTATTTGTTTTTTAAAAAGAAATGTTTTGAATTTGGGGGATAGAGGTTAGCTTAAACTGAGTGAGGGAATATGTGTATATTCCTATGAGAAAATAACTATAACACAAGAAAGCCCAAGTCGCTTTGGACCTCAGGCCATACACTGTTCCATAGAGCAACAGGTCATGAACAGCTACCTAAGGGTAAAAGAATTGCAAGTATTAAACGTTTATTTTGCTGGGCAGTGTTGGCACATGAATTTAATCTCGGCAACATGGAAGGCAGAGGCAGGGGGATCTCTGTGAGTTCAAGAGCAGCCTGGTTTACAGAATTAGTTACAGTACAGCCCGGCTACACAGGGAAACCCTGTCTCACTCCACCGTCCCTCCCAAAAAAAAACTGTATTTTCACTATATTTGAAGGAAATAATTTCAAGACATATGCCATTTTTGATACAGAACATGACACATAATTTGCCCTTATCTTGACAATGGGACACTTCTTTCTAGCATCAGTTGTGATCTCATAATGTGACAGTGGCACAAGCTGTTGACAACTGCCATTCATATAAAAAGTTCCAAACTTTTGCATGAGTTGAGGCCTGTATGTGCTAACCTCACTTCTTCGGTATTTCCTCCTGCTGATTTCTACCTACTAATTGGAGTCTAACACACCCTGAATCCCTAATTCTAGGCTGCTCACAGGGAAGGGAGGTACACTAGGAATATGTTAGCAATACCATTTTCTGCATTTGAGTTTCTGTTTATAAACACTGGTTTCTAACTGAAAAGAAAATGTCTAACTATATGATACCCTAAGGGTGTTCCAGAGGGTACACCAGAACACCCTGACAAACCTATGGGCTGTTTTCTTCCCTTTCTTTTCTTCTTTTTGTTTTCCTGTTGTTTGTTTTTATTTTACTTTCTGGCATTTACTGCTAGGATGGATGAACTTGAAAAAAAGTTCAAGGAATACCTCAATACACTAGTGAACATATTGATCTGAATAAATGTGGGAACAATAAAGCATTCTAAAGGTTCTTGCATTTTAGGGGTATTTATCTTAATTATGTTAAATTAAGAATTCTACCTCAAGAATTTGCTGAGCTCGGAGTTCTTTTTCCATTCTGATTTGCTGTATTCTCTTAATTTTTTCCTGTAAGAAACATTATGAAAATTTGAGATAATGAAATAAATATTTAGGTTAAAAGTTTTAACTGGAGTCAGACAATTTAAGACATGAGTACCAAATTATCAAACACTATCCATACTGGATCTGAAATTCAGTTACTTGTTGTACAGTGATTTATATATTTGCATGAGTTTAGAAATTCTCATAATGGTAAACTATAAATATTTAGTGAACATACAGAAGAAATAACAAAGCTGATTAAAGTTATATATCCAGACAGTATTCTGCAAGTTCAAATAAAACAGAAAACATAAATACATAAAATGACTGATAGATTGTTAATACTTACTGAATGAATTTGAACAAAGAACACTATTTCTATAAAATAATTTACATGCATGCCTTTGTCAGATTGTCAATAAAGTTAAAGAATACTTTAAAATCACAACTATATAGTCATTACACAGCTATAAGATCATTATTAAAAATAATCTCCAATTCTAAAATGTATTTCACATGTTGACAACATGATATGAACAATCCTTTTAACCACAAGAATAAAGCCACAAGATTTTACAATGAATTAATTTAAATTTATAATCTAGGAAATTACTTACATTAGGTAACTCCCATGAAAAAATATCTAAATTTGGTTATACTTTATAATTTAGCAATCATCTAAGTTATGATAAGAACATACATTCTGAGTTTTAAAGTTGACTTCATATGCTATAATCATAGCAAAGAAATTTTTTTTTAAATGCGCTTTCAGAAAGTTTCAAACTGGCCTGGATAGGAATAAATTCCTAACAACAATAACATAACTGACATTTTTTTTACTTATAATTAGATTTGTTCTAGAACTTCTATATCAAACACACTTTATTCATAATCAAACACCACTGTGCTTGTCTTTCAGTTTCCAGAGGTAGCATTAACTGTGCATTACTAACTTTTCAGTCATTCTGTATAAGTGAGGTGTATAATACAATCAAGAGATCGGAGTACTCAACAATCTACTTCAGAAGACTTGTCACTCTATGATTTTGCTACTGGTGATCCTTTCATGGTACTGAATATTACCTGCAGCTTACCAGAAATAAAAACCCAAGCTTTTATTCTTACGTTATTTCTAAGCAATGCACTGAAGAAACCATTTTAAATTATTTACTTAGAAGTTAAGACATGAGGACCATATTCTTGATGAAAATTTTCTGTTTTTGTTAATCATAAGACTTTAAAAGGGGTATGACTTTAAATTAGCCAAAGCATTCTACCATTCTCTCATGTGCAGATATAGACTCTTAGACTAAAGTAATCTGGGCTTAAATATATTCAGTTTAAATCTTTATCTTAACTTTACCTTAAATCTTTATCTTACAATCGTATGTATGTACATACGTACGTACACACACACAAACTAGATGATTGGAGACAATATCATCAACATGAAAACTAACATTTAAAGTTTTTATAAATTTTTTATACTATTATGTAGCTATCTACTAAGATGATACTTTATATACAGTATCTTATTTATCATCAAAGAGTCTTAATGGTTGGAATTATATTGTTTTTCTAAGTAAAGGCCCTGAGTTCTTACACAGAAATATTTTGCTATAATGCTAACATTTAGTTCACAGAGTCATAACTTGACTTACACTGTGCTCACCCTACTTCAGTGTGATGCTCCCACAACCCTGTAAAATTGCTTTGAGGATCCTTGTTGTGTATGGGAACACAAAGCTCCCACACTGGTTAAGTACTTATGGAGCATCCTCTAAGTCCTGGGTTCAATCCCCAGCAGTGGCAAGGAGGGAATGGGGTTGGGAGTTTGCAAACTGTGGTGTTCTGCACATGGCAGAGTCGGTGCAGTAATGACCCCACAGGAGCTGTGGCTGCCTGTATTGTGCCTACACAAGATGGTATTTTACTCAGCAGTCAGCTGTGAATCAGGGAAGGGATCACAGGGCCTGCCCCTCCATACTGGGCTCCTGACTGCTGTGGATTCTGGGAAAGAGGCAGTCATTGTTGTTAACTGTGTAACCACTGAGAAATCCACCAGGTTCCAATAGATAGTTCCAAACCCAGAGTCACACAGGTGAGCCTGGTTAAATTCAGGGGACTCAAAACAAAACAAAACAAAACAACAACAACAACAAAACAAAAACATGAATGTGAGAAAGTGACTTATATGGAACAGAGTTGGGGTAATCGGGATAGGAGGTAAATTAGAAAGAATGTGTGAGATAGAGAGGAGTTACTGTTGTTAAGATACATGTATGAAATTGCAAAAGAAAAAAATTCAATAAAAATTATGTTTAAAAAAGTATGAAAAAATACTATGATGATATTTTTTCTCAAATTTTGTGTTAAAAGTATCCTAAAATGCCAGCACTTGGGAAGTACAGGCAGGTGTATCTCTGTGAGTTCGAGGACAGCCTAGTATAGAGTTCCAGGCTACACAGAAAGACCCTGTCATTAAAAAACAAACAGAGATAGAAAAAAATATCCAAAGAATGAGAAGAATGTGATTCTATCTGATTCTAGATCATTTCAGGGCTAGATGACACACACCTGTAACCCCAACAACTCTGGTAACTGATGCAGGAGAATCACAAGTAGGAAGAGACATCTTAGTCTCAAAAAGAAAGTAAGAGAAAATAAAATGGTCATTATTTAACAAAAAGTCTGAGTAGTGCCATAAGTGTTGGGATAAATATATAAGACTAATTCACCTGGTTAATGTTGCTGAACGCTCTGAAGCCTAATGCTGTTTCAATTAGTAATAAAGATTGCGAAAGTTGCAGGCACTTGACTTTAAGATCACAAAGCTGAATTTAATGTAGTAAGATAATCTGATATGTCAACATAAAATCAAAGAAGCTACAAAAAGTGCAACAAAATGACAGTATGTTTCTCTAAAATGAAGTATAAAAACACACACTATTCATTAAAGATTTACAACACTTTAACAAATGCATTAATAAGCATACTTATTTTAAGTCAAACTCACAAGTTTACATATTGTGTTTTAAATTATGGTAGAAGGTATATTTTATAAACCTCTTTCAAGAACAGTATTTATTTTTTGTCAAGGGCTGTGGAAGGCCTTATCTCATTTAATCATCAGCCCCCATAGTCACCTTCCTTTACAACAAAGGAAATAGAGTCATGAAACATTAGTCCTTCAAGGTCATAAAATCATTAAGCAGTTGAGCCCACATTTAACTCTAGGCTGCCTGCTTAGAAATTCCACTCTATAAGAATTCACTCTGGTCACATATCTTTAGTTAATTATGGAAGAAACATCAGAGATAATGACATGGATTCCAAGCCAAGCAATTTAGCTAGCAGCTATTTATATAACAACACAGTGATTTCATTTAAAACAATACACTTTCTCCCCTTTTCCTTGTTTTGGTGTTGGATAAGCATGTGGAGATAGGAAACAGCTCACACACCTTGTCAATTAAAATTTTGTTCATTTTTTGCTTGTTTGTTTGTTTTGTTTGTTTGAGACAGGGTTTCTCTGTGTAATAGCCTTAGCTATCCTGTAACTAGCTCTTGTAGACCAGGCCGGCCTTGAACTCAGAGATGCTCCTATTTCTGCCTCCTGAGTGCTGGGATTAAAGACGGACGACACCACCGCCTGGCTATTTTGTCTATTTTTTTTTAATTACTTCACTTTACTAAAATTAACTTCAAAAGTAGAAATAAGAAGGGTAATATAGAAATAAGAGAGAACTCTGGATAAGGTGAATAATACTCTGAAAATATTCAGAAGTAATGAGGGCAAACTGTCTTCTAAAACAGCTAGATAAAGTTTTTTTTTTTTTTTAACCAATCGGGTACATATATCATTTGCTTAAATTTAATTAATTGAATTACCATAGATGTGGGGTGCACATGTGCCATACTGCACCCGAGGCAGTCAGATGACCACTTGTGAAGTTGGTTCTTTCCTTCTACTACTATGTGGCTTCAAAGGACTAAACTCAGGTGAGGCGTATACTATGCATGTTTTAAAGTGCCAAATTTCCTTATTAAAACTTGGAGCTTCAAGTAATATCCCCTATCCACTGATACACCAATTTAAAGTTTGAAAACAGTCTCAGAGTACCAACTTGAATTCAAAGTACAAGAATATTAAAATATTCATAAGTATGAAATATATAATGCCTTATATGAAATTTTACTTTTTAAAGAACTTTAAGAAAAAGAACTTGATTTTAAAATGAGGGAAGTTCTTATAGGTTTTCCTCTAGGACCTGTGATCTTTCCATCAACAGGTTCTTGGCTGGGTTTTTAGTACTAGACCAGAGCTGCCCCTTACTAATGGGTCTTAGGTCCAATCAGACAGATGTTAGCCACTTCCAAGACTAGTGCAGCAGCTGCACCACAGGGAACCTCTTGCCAGACTGGCCACTCTTTGCCATTTTGCTAATTGATACGGTATGCAACTGACTTCTAAGTATTTATGCTTAAACAAAGAAGTGCAGCTCCCTCATAAACAAGTTTCTATTAGCATTAGATGGAGGATGTAACAGAGAACCAAAGTTGGTCAAACTGCAGGAAAAAGGACTGTAGAGTACCCATCTCCATCTCTTGGACAATCTCAAGACTCAGAGACATCATGGAAGAGGGATCACAAAAACTATAAGAGCTAGACGGCTAGCGAACTGCTGGGAAACAGTGTCTATTGCAAATGACAGGAATGTTGCAAATATAAACTCAACAATTTTTGCCTACAAGACCATAGCAGCAGATATGCCATCATAGGTAGGGAAAGAGGTCACAAGGTCTTACCTCTAGTAAGAGCTACAGGCAGCCAAAGGCTTCGCGAGCAGGGAAAGATTTTCTTCGGGGTGAGTCCCCTTGATAGCCCTACACCCAGGTACATATGAGCAATACTAGTTGGACTCAGGAGGGTGCAGCTCAAATACTCGAACGAACATACACAGGACCTGAGTTCCAATATCAGAGCATACATTTACGGGGGAAAAAAAGGCCAGGTCTTGAAAGATGACTCAGCAGTTAAGAACACTGGTTGTTTTTGCTGAGGACTTCAGTTCATTTCCCAGTACCCACATGGTGGCTCTTAACCATCTAGAACAGTTTTGGATGATCCAATGCCCTCTTCTGGCCTCCATGAGTACCAGGCATAGATGTGGTACAAAGACATAAGTAGACAAACACTCATTCATATAAAATAAAAATAAATATCTCTTGAAATAGGAAAAAAGATGTTTAAGATGGCAGCTTCCTAAACAGACAAAGACATTCACACAGGACAGTGGCTATCTATATGGTAATCTAAGTGGGAACCATGCCCATCCCGTGTACATGCAGACCCACACTGGAAGTCCGTGCCAGCTCATGGACATACCTGCTGCTTCATAATCTTCATCTGTTCTTTCTGCTTCCGCTTCTCTTCAGCAGCCATTATTGCTGTTAAGAGAAAATAAGCATGTCTGCCATCACAGAAACACAGGAAGGGTAGCCCATATGCACCCCCCCCCAGTTCCTACCTTTCAAATCCATGCATGTATGTCACCCACCTTGTTGTTTTTTAGCTTCTTTGGCAACCCGTGCTTGCTCCTGCTTTTGAAGTTTTCTCAAAAGCTTTATTTGTGCTGCTTGTCTGGCTATTTCTGAAAAACATAAAATTTCAAAGGGTATCATTGACAACTTTGCATATCTCATAAATGTTAAAGAGTAACTGTGAAATGGGTGCTGAGTCACCACGAATGCCAAAGGGTAGATTTAGACCAGCATGCCATGCTCATTCTCCCCTTAGAAATGGCCAGATTAGCCTACTGTGGTAACTCAAGGTTGTAATCCCAGCACGTGGGTGGCTAAAACAAACAAATCATGAATTTTAAAGCCCCAAAAAGTTAGAAAATAATTGCCAAACTATTTAATCAAATATGAACAAAAAACCAACTGCATAAATGTGATCCCCATCACAGAACTCACATAAGCACCCTCTTTACATTACAAGCAATGCTTCCTTGGTAGCTAAGAAGCTGCTGAGACATTTCAGTTTAGCTTCAATAAACATGCACGTGTGTGCATGTGCACGCGCGCGCACACACATATGCAAAGGAAGAGACTTCTAACCAAATTTGTATTTCAATCCTTGAATCTAATGACATTCTCACTTACAAGGCAGAATGAAGAATATTCAAGAGTTTTAAGGACAGCAAAGTTCTTATGATTGTAAAGGATAGACAGAAGGATCTGGGGAAAAAAGACTTAACAGTCCTATCCTTCATGCCTCCCTTGACCCAGGTCATTTACCATGTGACTTTGGAGTCCCTCTCATTGAGAGATGGAATACACTCTGCCCTAGATTCTGAATTCAGGACATGCATAACTGTCCATGGTCGAGAGGACGTTAGCTGAAAAGAAAGCAGAGCTTTCAAGGGTACATGTGTTCTCTCTCTACTGCTCCTGCGCCTTGTCCACCAACCCAGGACACAGGCTGCTCGGTATTGAACACATGGAGCCAACTGAGCCCACACATGAACAATCTCAGCCAAGACCTATGAAGATGCTCTCTCTGACTCCCCCTGGAAGAGTCTTTAGCTTGTAGTACCCTGAATCACTGGGATTTAGTGATTGCTTGTTAGTGTGGAAATGGGTCTAATGGATACAGAAACCATATAATGTCATTATTCTCCTCAATGGCAAGTGTGATCTGAATGCTATTAACTCTAAAAGGGATGTATCATAATATTACTTGAAAAATAATTTTAGAAAGTAACACTTTACAACAAAGAACAACAGTTCTAAATTTTGTAGCCGATGAAGATGTAAGGAACCTATAAACTATATTAACTGACAATGATTATGTATGTCTACCATTTATTGAATGTGAGTCATGTATTAAATTTACATTATTTTATTTAATCTTCACAGCAATTTTGTGAGGTAAACAATCTTATACACAGTATATAAATAAAACATGCAAGTCCCATAGATGTTACAGAGCAGTCAAAGCACAAACTCCTATCTTTCTATACTGCCCATCTACATTTCACTATGAGAAAAACCTTGAAGCAGCATTTGAATGATTCAAAGTCCTAGTAGGTCATGACATAGTAGTCATGACATAGGTCATGAATTGGTGGTCACTAATTTTCTATTGTAACAATTTTGAAAACAAAGTCTAATTTATGTAGCAAACTATAGATACTACTGAAAGATAAAATGAAAGCTAATGCTATTAAAATACATTTCGAACTTCTAATAGTGTTCACTATTTGAAAATCATAGTAATCATTAAAACTTTCTGAGTTATGAAAAAGATCTCTTATATAGTAAATACCTTAGAAATAAACATCACAAAAACTGGCATGCAGAGAAAGCAACCTCTGCTAAGAATATTCTAGAAGACTATCATAATAATGAAAAATAACACATTTTCAATATTTAAATATTAATATTTAAGAATTTAATGTGGATTTTTTTGTTTTGTTTTTGTTGAACTCTAATTTTTAAGACTTGACTTTGTCTTCAGCTGAAAGGCACATGATTAGAAAAGTTTCTGAAAAAAGTTACATAAGTTTACCTTTCACTATAAGTTAAATTATTTCTCTAATAGAAGCAGGGGCTTTATAAATTCTGAGTAAGTCATAATGAAATCAGTAACTTTCCCAATAAGAAGATGTTAATAAAATATTCAAAAATATGACTGCCTTAATTTCAAAGATAAGTATTTAGTCCAAATAAACCCAAACCATATAGAATTAGTGATCTTTCAGACACAAGTCATTTCTTTAGACATGACATTCCGCAGCATTGCAGCATGACTAAAATCTGCAGATGTCAGACAGCTGTGAGCACTCCTTCTGAGAAGGAAGGCATTGGAGAAAGCTCTGTCCCCACATTTGCTGTTCTGTGACCAGTGCTAGCTGCAATTCTCTGCTGTCCACAGCCTGAGGTATTAGTGTCGGTCAATAAACATGCAGCTTTCATTTACACGCACTGAAAACCATTATCACATCCAAACTGTCAGATTTTAATCTTTATTCTGTGATAACTTGGAGCTCTCCATCTGACAGTGTTTGGGAAATAAATTTAAGATGTGCATTTATCATTTTCTTATCTATTCTGTGAATGTAACCCAATTTTTCTGCATAGTTTAATCCTAGTAGAATAATATATATCAGAAACTTCTAGAATCCTCTCAAATAACCCCTTTAAATTGTTTGAAACAGTTAAACAATCATCAAACAATTCATTGTTGCTTAATCTCTACAAAAGGGGCACATAAAAATTCTTATACTTGTAAATATAAAAACATTATTTATTTATTATCGTGTATGAGGTATGCATGTAGGTGTGTAGGCCACAGCAGCTATGTAGAGCTCAGAGGACAACTTGGACGAACCATTGACTGTTCTGCCTTGATGTGAGGGGGTCCAGGGACAAAACTCTGATCACAAGGACTGGGCAGAAAGTAACTTTACCACTGAGTTACCTTGCGAGCCCAAATGTAGTAATCACTTATTGTTAAATACTGAATGCTTTAGGGCATGAGGACTGTTACCACCAAGCCTAAAAACCAGAACTTGATCCCTACAACCAACATAGTGAAAGGAGAGAGCTGCTATCTGCAATTTGTCCAATGACCTCCACAATTTATGGGGACACAAGTGTCCCCTACTCTCTTTAACAAATTAATAAACATAAAAAAGACACTAAGTACTTGTTTTCATGTAAAGAAAATGTGTGTGTACACACACACAAACACACACACACACACAGGGCTTTACTGATAAGTTTTAAAATCAGGGCTGGCAAGATGGTTCAGTGGGTGAAGGGGATTCCTACCAAGACTGACAACCTGTGTTTATCCCCACAGCCCACATGGTGGGAGGAGAGGACTGATGCATGAAAGCTCCCTTCTGACCTCCACACATGTTGTGGTATGTGCACCTATACATATACGTGCACATGTGCACACACACTGAGGAAAAACAATAACTGAAAATGCAATTTAAAAAAGTTTAATGCTGGGCACACTATAGCTGGTATGGTGGTGTGCACCTTTAATTCAAGCATTCAGGAGGCCAGCCTGGTCTACAGCGTTAGTTCCAGGACAGCCAGGGTTACACAGAGAAACCCTGTCTTGAAAAATCACCAAAAACCAAAAAAAAACATAAAAACTTTAAACTAATTTTTGAAACGCATGCACATCTTTTAAGACATTTACTATTTTGCTTTTAATCATTAATAAGTAATTTGGAAGATGAAAGTTTTAAGATAAAGAAAATAATGTTAAGGCAGAGAAAGACTGAATCTATATTGTTAAATGGTAGTCAGTAGTTGCTTTAAATGATTACTGGATGAAGTACAAATTGGAACAACCATTTTAGAAACAGTGCTGATTTGCCTGTAAAAGATGGGTGTGGTCTATAGGAAATATATACTTGCAAATGTATAACATATTTATTATTACACTATTTGTGATGGTAAAGATTCATCAAAAGAGACTGGTGTTCTAATGAGGATGTCAGAGAAACATGTGTCATCACTGACTGCAGGGCCACTGGAAGGTTGGTCCCTAGGTGCTAGCTAACACAGAAAGATGACTGAGGTCAAGCTGACAAAGTATAAGGGGAATAAGGCACACATGGGAAGCTTTCAATGTGGATATGTGTGTGCACATTTCTAGAGAGATTAACAAAAACTTGTTATGACTCCACTGATGAGTGGGAAAGCTTTTAAAGTATTTTCTTCTATGAGCTTTATTCTATGGATTATGATTTATTTGCAATGAACAGAAATACACTTTGCATATTTTCCTCTAGATCTTATATTCATAGAGCTAAAGAATTCTTGAAATGACATAAAATTCTGAGAGCCCTTTGAATATAACTTAATTATTAAAAATTTAAGCCATGAGTTATCCTGTGTCACAGGAACAGCTCTGAGGTAACTTATGTATAATTTTGAATAATAAGTACATCTCTGATCACTGGAAGTACTTTGAACTTAATAATCCTGCTCTTTGGTGCCCTTGCCATACCTAAAACATACCATCGGCATTCTGAAATTGCATACCCAGACTTCAGGAGTCTCTAAACTAAATCACTGCGGTTAGTCACCAGTAACTAGAGTTCTCTGTTTGAAAATTGACCTACAGACCCACATATTTTGGAGTTATTCTCATGTACACTTCCAGGAATGAGGAGCTGTTAACAGGGGAATCCCAGGTAGGCACAACCTTAGGGCATGTGCCAAGTGGTGGCTGATCCTTCTGTGCAAATCTCAACGGCCACACACAGGAGAGGATGGTGTCTGTAAGCATGACTCAACATACAGTTATACATTCAAGGAATTCCTCGTCTGAGAGCAGCGTCAAATACTTCCAAATCAAAACTACAAGATAACTATGGGGTCTCCATGACTGTTAGTTAGTGCATCTCACCTTGAGCCTGCAGTTTCCTTAGTAATTTTGCATCTGTGTTATCTAGGAATTCCGCACTGCCGACATTGGGAGGGCGGCCCTTTCGGCGTTTCATCCTGGATTCCTCTCTTGCTCTTGGTCTATCTGGATTGGATGGTCTTCCCCTTCGGCCATCCATTGCCCTGATACGAGGAATGACATCCTCTTCTTTCAAAAGACACCACTGCATTCCCTTTTAATTAACAAATTACACAAATAAATATTACAAACAAAATAAAAACAAGGGATTGAGATAACAGAAAGTTCTAGTTACAATCATAGTTTTTAAAAAAATATATAAGGCTGGTACTAGTTTTAACTTTTTAAAAAACTAAATTTAGTTGAGTAATTTTTCTATGATAAACCTTTAATAAATATTCTAAGTCACTATTTATTCCTTTCTTAAGTACATAGACAGATTTTTATCTATAACTATAAGCATACACAGAGTGACATAACAATCATTTCTGAATACAGTTATGACAAAGTTCGGAGGCATTGGAAAGTGTCAGTTGTGTGATTAATTCCCTATGGGTTATTCTTGTGTGTTAATAGTTCAACAAAAATATTAGGCTACCAAGGCTATAAACTTTTTTCTTAGATGAATATTATAGTTAATACATGAAAGAGAAAGGTAAAATTTTAGTCTTTTGTAATCACTAATGATGTTGCCCTTGAACAGGATGCATTTCATCAAAAAAGAGACAATCAGGCCAATACTCGCCTCCTGATGGAGGTTCACATTATCTGTAAAGTCATTTTATTCCTATCCCAAGGCAAACATGGACTTTATCAAAATTTGAGATCTAATCACTGTAATTTTAAAAGCAAGTATTATAATTTTTAAAAATCAGCAAAGAGAGAAAGACACCATGTGACAGAGCTTGGGTGGAGGGGTTTATATTGGGAGAAAGTGAATGGAAAAAGGGGACAGGGGGGCCAGGCCCTGGGGAAAGGAGCCCCAGAAGAGAAGAGAGAGTCAGAGAGTGGGAGAGAGAAGGAATAACAGAGAGAAAGGCAGAGAAGCAGAGAGAGACAGGAAGATGGGAGCTGGGCAGCGCCCTTTTAAAGGGAAAAGTAGTGAATGTTCACAGGTGCTCTTAGTGGCAGCAGCTGAAGGCATATCCTGTCAGAACCCCAAAGACAGGTCAGTACAGATGCCTGAATACTAATAGCAAGACTGGGTGAAAAGCATCTCTTTAAAATACATGCAAAACCCAGTCTGTAGGAATCAACAAGTGATTTGGCCTCTTAAATAAATTGTGACAAGCTTAACCAACAGTACAGGAAAATTAAGTACACTTTAAAAGATGTATTAATCCTAATTCATCAGTGTTACTTGGCAACTGATCTAAAGAAACTATTGAGAAAATTTAAAAATTGAAAATTGAAACAAACACTGATATTTGAAAGCACCAAATAAAAAAGCAACCATTGGAGAACACTGAAGGGACATGTTAATTACAAATACACTTGAGAAGGGAATAGAAAATAGGTACAAATTCACAGTAGAAGTCCTATTTTTGTTCAGGTACTCTGAAGTCATACACTTTGATCTTCATAACATTTCTAACTCATATGACAGTGTTTATTGTTTTAGGGGTACCAAGAAAGCAAGAAAGAAAGTTGTCATTCAGTTTGAAAACAACTGTCACACTTCAATATAATGAGCTCTTGATTTTGTATCAGAGGCTACAAGGATAGTCTTATATCTTTTAAACACAACTTTTAGGACTATTTCAATCAAAATTTGTGGCTGAAAAACTAGTGCATGTATTCCACCTGTGCTTACTGAGAGTAAAAACCTAAGACTAGCTACTCAGTGATTTGCATGTGAAAATAATTAAATCTACTTTGAGAAAAACTTGTTTCCTCTAAAGATTAAGATTAAAATCAATAGAATCAACAGTTGCACCAACAAGCACATTTCAGGCCACATTCTATTTCAGAAGAAAGCCATCAGTACAGATAGGTTAGAATAAGCGGTGCTCACCATTAAGGGAAGTTTCTTATTATTTTTTTCACTCCTTTGTTATGACTTTAGGCATCAAAGCTGCATGTATAATACAGATCAAATAAGCAAAGGTGACATTTGTGACTCAGTGACAAGAGAGAATAAGGAGTCTGTAAAAAAAAAAAAAAACCTGCATTCTGTTTTTAAAGTATCTTATTTTTAGGAAAACCTATTTCAAGTCAATATTTGAGGGTCTTATATGAGTACCTTTTCATATTAAATACGATTTTTATATAGTAATTTCACAGTCACTTAGGAAAACTTCCTGTTGGAGTGTTGACAACTACCAGACAACAGTGCCATCATAAATGACATTGGTGCCCATGGCATTTAGAAAGCAAATACTTTTTAAGAGGATTGCGTATAATGGGTTTGACATACTATCATCTAATTCTTTGATTTCAGAAATCAAGAAAAGACGGTTAGGAAATCTCAGGTTTATATTACAACTTTAATTCATTAGATAGTCAAATTAATGTGGGTAGGGGCATACAGTCCAGCTATAAGTAGCCATCTCTTGAAAAGTGAATTGAATTCATAACACTTGGCTAGCTCTTGTGAGTCATAACTTACATGTTAAAGGTTAGTTTATGTGTGAGGCTAGCTTGGGTTCCCCAGCATTAGTGGGAAATATTTATTGTTTGTTCTCTTTCTTTCTTTCTTCCTTTCTTCCTTTCTTTTTCTTTCTTTCCTTCTTCCCCTCACCCTTTCTTGTTTTGAAACAGGGTTTTTCTGGGTTAGCCCTGGATATCCTGGAACGAGCTCTGTAGACCAGGCTGGCCTCGAACTCAGAGATACCCCAAGGTTTAGGGGGAAAAAAATGTTTCCTAGAAATAATATTTCTTGACTAAGATTTAAAAGACATATATAAAAAGAGACATTATGGAGAAGATCAAAGATTATATTCATTATTTTAAAGTCCTTTTTGAAGAACTATTAATTTATATCCTTTTACATTTCATTTAAGAAGACTAAAAAAATGTAACAAAAAAAAAAGATATATGAGATAAGTAAAACTATACTGTAAGACACAATGTATTATTTTTTGAAGTTATTTGGTACAATATCAAAAGGTGATCTAGAATTCTTCCCTGAAAGAAAAGACAGTATTTCTAAGTTTTTAAATTTTTCTTACTAACTAATGTGTTTGTATGTGTGATGGGAGATGTCATTCTGTAAATATGTTTCTCATACTGGTTAATGAAAAAAGCACTGTTGGTCAATTGGAAAGGAAGATAGGAGGGACTAGGAGACAAGGAGGAAAGAAGAAGTAGTAGAGAGGAGTCAACATGGAGAGACGGGGGAGAGCAGACTCTCCAGTAAGATGAGACCACATGGAAATAACTTAGATTAACAGAAATGGGTTAATAATTAAGACAGAGCTAGCCGATAAGAAACTAGTACCTGGCCAACAGTATTATATCAAATACAGAGTCTCTATGTGTTAATTGGGGCTGGCACAGCAGGGGGTCCAGGCCAGCAGGGGAAAAACCTAACTCCTTAAATATGTGATAATCAAAAACAACTTTATGGGACCTGTTCTCATCAACTACCATAACCTAGTTTCCTTAGACCCTGCACCCAGTATGTCATCTCTCCAGTACAGAATAAAACATTAAAAGTAGTTTTAGGGGCTGGAGAGATGGCTCAGCAGTTAAGAACACTAACTACTCTTCCAAAGGACCCAGGTTCCATTCCCAGCACCCACATGGCAGCTCACAACTGTCTGTAACTCCTGTTCCAGGGGATGCTGGCAAAACACCAACACACATAAAATAAAAATTAATAAAGCTTTTAAAAGATTATTTTGTAATGTAAAAATAAATGACCTAAAGACAGATATTGGGGTTCAAGCTGAAGATCAGGGAAGCAAAGCAGCTGGTCACTAGCTCTCACCTCAAGCTCAGGCTGAAAGGGCTGATCGATCCATGAATGAGCACCTCACCAAGCCTCAAACTGCTGCCTCTCCTCGGTATAGCCTCCTGAATACTTGCTCTTGTCTTTTATACTCCTCTAGTGCCAGGATTAAAGGTGTGAGCTATAATTTTATTTTAGAATGATTCACTCTTGTGTAGTTCTGGGTAGCCTTGAACTCACAGAGATCTATCTATCCCTTAATTCTAATCCTAGGGTTAAATCCAGATACCTCCTAGTATCTGGCTGCTGGATTAAAGATGTGTATCACCACTGGCTGACCTCTATAACCTGAGGCTGACTTTGGTGGTGAGAAATACATCATAAATAATATATCACAACATTTCTTATGTGTACTTATGGGTTTCTTGTTTGAGTGTATTTACGTGCACAACATATGGTACTTGTGAAGTCCAGAAAGGGCACTGGATCCCCTGGAACTCTACTCCGAGTGGTTGTAGCCACCAGTTGGGAGCCAGGAAGCAAACAGTGATCTTTCTGTGGAGGCATATCTCCAGCTCCAAAGCCACAGCAAGTATAACAATGTACCTCAAACTCAGGCTAATCTAGTGTAAGTGACTCAGGGCTACATCACCAACAGTAACAAACTGAAAGGTTTAGAAGTCTGGACAGAGCAAATTGTCTCAATGAACCATATACACATTATGGACTCTGGGAATGGGGTTAAAACCAGAAAGAAGAGTAAATGCTTCAGTCTTACAAGAGAAAAAACAAAAGCGGAAGACTATCAGGATATGAAAAGGAAAGCCAGAAGGAAAACTGAACAGGAATCATCAAACTTAGAGAGGCATGGGTGTGCTCCCACATCTCAATCCTGCTTCATATTGTGTCCCCAAAATAAATGAGTACATAGGGGCTGAGTAACCTAAGTGGTCCATCTGCCAAATTTCTTAGAGTCGATTTTCTCGGTGTGTCACTAAGGCTGGTGTGGAGCTACAACTCCATCCCTATGGCCCATTTTTTTCAAGTTAACACTTGAGAGGGTGGCACTCTTGAAAAAAAAATGAGGGATTCCTTGTTTCTTTTCTTTTTTTAATTTGAGACAGGGTCTTACTACTCTTGCTTGGCCTAGAACTTGTTTTGTAGACCAGGCTGGGTTTACACTCAAAGAGATGCACCTGTCTCTGCTTAGATCAAAGGTGTGTGTCACTACACCTGCATGGATGGGATCTTTATCATCTAATATCTGTGTCTCTAGGAAGTAAAATAACTGTGTTCTATGGTTCAAGTCTAAATTAATGCAT